GGCACACCCCTCACACGTTTCGTGGCCCCATAGGAGCTCCGCCGAAGGCCCCAGTGCTGCCGCCCGCATGCGTCCCCCACACCCAATTCGGCACACCCCTCACACGTTTCGTGGCCCCATAGGAGCTCCGCCGAAGGCCCCAGTGCTGCCGCCCGCATGCGTCACCCACACCCAATTCGGCACACCCCTCACACGTTTCGTGGCCCCATAGGAGCTCCGCCGAAGGCCCCAGTGCTGCCGCCCGCATGCGTCCCCACACCCAATTCGGCACACCCCTCACACGTTTCCCCCATAGGGAGCTCCGCCGAAGGCCCCAGTGCTGCCGCCCGCATGCGTCCCGCACACCCAATTCGGCACACCCCTCACACGTTTCGTGGCCCCATAGGGAGCTCCACCGAAGGCCCCAGTGCTGCCGCCCGCATGCGTCCCGCACACCCAATTCGGCACACCCCTCACACGTTTCGTGGCCCCATAGGGAGCTCCACCGAAGGCCCCAGTGCTGCCGCCCGCATGCGTCCCGCACACCCAATTCGGCACACCCCTCACACGTTTCGTGGCCCCATAGGGAGCTCCGCCGAAGGCCCCAGTGCTGCCGCCCGCATGCGTCCCGCACACCCAATTCGGCACACCCCTCACACGCTTCGTGGCCCCATAGGGAGCTCCGCCGAAGGCCCCAGTGCTGCCGCCCGCATGCGTCACGCACACCCACACCCCACACCGTACCTGGCACCCATAAGGAGAGCAACCCAAGCACAAGGCCCCACCGCCCCAGTGCTGCCGCCCGCATGCGTCACGCACGCCCAATTCGGCACACCCCTCACACGTTTCGTGGCCCCATAGGGAGCTCCGCCGAAGGCCCCAGTGCTGCCGCCCGCATGCGTCACGCACACCCAATTCGGCACACCCCTCACACGTCTCGTGGCCCCATAGGGAGCTCCACCGAAGGCCCCTGTGCTGCCGCCCGCATGCGTCACGCACACCCAATTCGGCACACCCCTCACGCGTTTCGTGGCCCCATAGGGGGCTCCGCCGAAGGCCCCAGTGCTGCCGCCCGCATGCGTCCCGCACACCCAATTCGGCACACCCCTCACACGTTTCGTGGCCCCATAGGGAGCTTCGCCGAAGGCCCCAGTGCTGCCGCCCGCATGCGTCACGCACACCCAATTCGGCACACCCCTCACACGTTTCGTGGCCCCAAAGGGGGTTCCACCGAAGGTCCCGGCGGGTGTGCCCGCATGCGTCCCGCACATTTATTTCGGCACACCCCTCACACGCTTCTTGGCCCCATAGGGAGCTTCACCGAAGGCCCCACTGCTGCCGCCCGCATGCGTCCCGCACACCTATTTCGGCACACCCATCACGCGTTTCGTGGCCCCACAGGGAGCTCCGCCGAAGGTTCCAGTGGGTGTGCCCGCATGCGTCCCGCACACCCATTTCGGCATGCTCTTCACACGTTTCGTGGCCCCATAGGGAGCTCCACCGAAGGCCCCAGTGGGTGTGCCCGCATGCGTCCCGCACACCCATTTCGGCACACCCCTCACACGTTTCGTGGCCCCATAGGGAGCTCCACCGAAGGTCCCAGTGGGTGTGCCCGCATGCGTCCCGCACATTTATTTCGGCACACCCCTCACACGTTTGTGGCCCCATAGGGAGCTCCACCGAAGGCCCCAGTGCTGCCGCCCGCATGCGTCCCGCACACCCATTTCGGCACACCCCTCACGCGTTCGTGGCCCCACAGGGAGCTCCGCCGAAGGTCCCAGTGGGTGTGCCCGCATGCGTCCCGCACACCCATTTCGGCATGCTCTTCACACGTTTCGTGCCGAAGGCCCCAGTGGGTGTGCCCGCATGCGTCCCGCACACCCATTTCGGCACACCCCTCACCCGTTTCGTGACCTCTCACACGTTTCGTGGTCCCATAGGGAGCTCCACCGAAGGCCCCAGTGGGTGTGCCCGCATGCGTCCCGCACACCCATGTCGGCACACCCCTCGCACGTTTCGTGGCCCCGCAGGGGGCTCCACCGAAGGTCCCAGTGGGTGTGCCCACATGCGTCCCGCACACCCATTTCGGCACACCCCTCACACGCTTCGTGGCCCCATAGGGAGCTCCACCGAAGGTCCCAGTGGGTGTGCCCGCACGCGTCCCGCGCACCCATTTCGGCACACACCTCACACGTTTCGTGGCCCCATAGGGAGCACCACCGAAGAAGATATTCACAATTGCGGTATTCACAATTGCATATGGTTGGGTCCTTCGCCAGGATAATTTTTTTTCGGGAAGCCCCTATTGCGAAACATTGTGTTTGTATATGTTTTTGGACACTCGATTTTGACATCCCTACGAAACCCACGGCGGTTGTTGATTGATTGTGGCTTGCGCGCGAGGCGACGCGCGCATATGCACTTCGTCCAGTTATGTTGCAAAGGATTGGTTAAACAAGTGATGATTTGTGATCAACGAGCGCGCGCGCATAATATTATTGCTGAGGATAAGAGGTTGGCGGGCTCCGGCATGGCTGGGATTGCATGAGCTCAGATGTAGGATGGACGGTGGGGCAGAATTGTTCGACAATTGCAGTAGGAAAGCGATGTATCGTTAACCCTGGAGGCGGGGGATCCCATAATATTGGTTTAGAAAGGAGAACCCATGTGACCATGTGATGCGCAATCTATGTGGTGCAGGCGACGTGGTGCAACATGTGTGGTGCAACGTATGCTGTGCGATACATGTGATGCAACTTACGTGGTGCAATATATGTGGTGCAGTTTACGTGATGCAACTCACCTTGCAGAACTTGGGTTGTCAACTCCACTGGTCGCGCAACCATGCTACCCACCCGCCCGCAATGTGGTTTGCAAAATCATGCGGCGGCGATTGCGGTGACTGCATGGCGCTGGAAGGCGCATCGTTGCGGTCGCGCTTGCGCGCGCAGGCTCGCGCGCTCAGCGGACAGCTAGGCTGGCGCGACCGACGCGGCCGCGGTAGCGGTGACCCCGGCTCGTCCCGCATCCCGCGCTGACGCGCGGGCACCTCCGTGTGAGTCGATGCCTCGGGCCTGCGCGGTATCGTGGCGACGTCGACAACGGCAGACACGATGATGATAGTAGCGATGATGGTGGCGATGATGAAGATGCCGACGGCAAGGCCAATGACGGCGCCGATGCTGATCACGCCGATGACGATGATGCTGTTCACGGTTCGGTGATACAGGTTTTGGAAGGATTTCGGCATGCGCGCGCAGCCGACGTGCGCGAATGGCCCACATAGTGTGCTTGTACAGTGATCGTGCCCTCCCCAGCAAGCGCGCAAGGACGTTCGAAATACGATGGCTCGCGCGCGAAAGCCCCTCTTGGTCGCACTTGATGAAAACGTTAAACCGATGGGTTTCGCAGAAATTCGCAAGAGCGCGCGCGCAACCCTCTTTCCCAACCATCCTGTTGTTGCGTCTTCGTTTTGAAGAGAGAGTTTCCGCGTCTTTTCCTCATTGAGCTCCTCCTTCTCCTCCTCCTCCTCTCCTCCTCCCCCTCCTCTCTCCTACCATTCCTGCCTTTGCCCTCCGCGTGTCCATGTCGGTACACCCATCACACGTTTTGTGGTCCCATCGGGAGTTCCACCGAAAACCCCAGTGGTAGGGTCCACATGCGTCCGCCCGACCCATGCTGGCACACCCCTCACACTTGTAAGGGCCCCACAGGTCCACCGAAGGCCCCAGTGGGAGGGTCCACATGCGCCCGCCCGACTCACAGTCACACACTCCGTGGCCCCAACGGGAACTCGACCGAGGGCTCTACTGGCAGGGTCTACACGTGTCCGCCCGACTCATGTCATCACACCTCTAACAAGCTTCGTGGTCCCATAGGGAGCTCCACCGGAGGCCCCAGTGGCCGCCCGACCCATGTTGTTTCGTGGCCCTCTAAGGAACTCCACCGATGGCGCCACTGGGAGGGGTCAGATGCATCCTCCCAGCCCATGTCGGCACACCCCTCACACGCTTCGTGGCCCCATACGGAGCTCCACCGAAGACGACTCACAACTGCGTTGTCCACACATGTATGAATCTGGGTCCTCCGCCAGGATAGTTGACAAGCCCCGATGCAAAACCAGTATCTTTAATGGTTTATGGGGATTCGGTATTGCAGATTTCACGCACCTGAGATGTTTGAAGAGTTTCGCCGTGCACGCGCGAAGACGCGCGCGTGTGTGGACTTTGTTTTATATGTTGCCATGGTTGCTCTTATTGTTTTGAAAACTTGTGAGTTGTTGTATGAACGAGTGCGCGCGCATAGTATCATTTTGACGAGGAGGGGGGTCGATGACGTCCTGCCTGGGGTTGTCCGAGTTCATATTTAAGAGGAACGATGGTGCACAATCGTATGTAAACGGCAATATCTCAAAGGGGGGCGCAAATGTATAGCCAACCGATATTGCATAACCGAGATTGCGCCACATAGAAATATATAGATACATATATATACATATACATCTACATACATATATATATATATATATATATATATATATATATATATATTTATAGGTATACATACATGTACTGCACCACAAATATTCCACACCGTATGGTTGACCATACATTTTCTGTGCATATATATATAGCACGCTATATATACTTATTCATTTATTACACATATACATATATCGCTGGAGACACCCTGTTCGGGATCCACGCTGGCAAACAAGTGTTGCTGGAAAGGAGAACCTATGCGGGACAGCGACGGGGCGTCAACAAGACGGCGGACCCGACAGACGAACACAGACGACGGGCGGCGACGGGGCGGCGACAGCGGCAGCAGGGCGGCGGATCCGACAAACAAGCCCAGAGGACGGGTGGCGACGAGGCACTGACGGGGCGGCGTCGGCGGCAACAGGGCGGCGGATCCGACAAGCAAGCACAGTTCCCCAGGGAACAAGTGAGATTCCCGAAGCGCAAACATCGTTTGGATAATCTTGTCTCTGGGTGCTCGGTGCCCAGAACCCAGTCGCAATGTCCCACCCAGGTTGCTGCATGGCTGTGGAGGTGAAGGTGGAGTCTTGTCCAACATGCCGCTTCAATCCCAAAGTTGAGAAGTTCACCGAAATGTGCAATACCATGTTTGGTGACAAGATAGCGATCGCCTCTGAGGACAGCGGCAAAGGCAAGTGTGTCATCTCGATCGGCGATGACGTCGTCTTCGAGCAGATTGGCAAGGGAAAGGGGAAAGGAAAGGACAAGGACAAGGGCAAGCACCATGACAAAGGCAACGGCAAAGACAAAACGAATGACTGGGGTGAGGACGGCGACGAGGGAAAGGGCACGGGTAAGGACAAGGCTAAGGACAAGTCCAATGATGAGGGCAAGGATAGGGAAGACCACTGGGACAAAGGTAAAGGCAAAGAGAAGGGCAAGGATAAGCACAAGCACAAGGATAAGGACAAGGAGAAGGGGAAGGCAGACCACATGGACAAAGGTAAAGGAAAAGAGAAGGGCAAGGATAAAGACAATGGCAAGGGTAAGGACAAGCAGAAAGGTGAGAGCGACGATTGGGACAAAGAGGACTGCCAGGGCAAGGGCAAGGACAAAGACAAGGACAAGGGCAAGGGCAAGGCAAAGGGCAAAGGCAAGGAGAAGGACAAGTGCACGCAGAAAGGAGGGGATGAGGATTGGGAGATTATACCGGACGGCAAGAGCAAAGACAAGGACAAGGGCAAAGAGAAGGGCAAGGGCAAGGAGAAGGGCAAGGGCAAGGAGAAGGGCAAGGGCAAGGACAAGGACAAGGACCACGACGACTGGAACAGCCCGTTCGGAAGGCCCACGCCGGAGGAGCTGCTCGCGGCGCTGCGGAAGATCGGGGAGCGGGTCGGTGTGCCCGTCCCCGACGAGCCAGACGGTATTGCCGACCTCGAAAGGCTGCACAAGGAGCAGCTTGCGCAGTGGCCCGCGCCGCCAGAAGCGTGAAGGTGGGGCGCCGTGAGCCTCCGCGCGGGGCGGCGTGTTCTTGCCGTCGTGGCCCACCTGGGCCTCTTGTCGTCCGCGCCTCCTCGGGTCTCATTGGCGTCCCCAGAAGCAGCTCCTCGGCGTCTTTGGCAGTGGCACCAGTTCCAGAGGTGTGCGTCGTCGTCCTCGTCGTCCCTTCTCCCACGCCTCCTCCTCCTCTTGCTCCGCCTCCTCTCCGCTCTCGCCTCCCCCCTCTCTTCTTCTCTCCTGACCCTTCGCCTTTCTTTCCTCCCCGCCTCTGCCCCGAGCAGTGTCCGTGCCCTCGCCCGCCGACCGTGCAGAGGCCTCCCCTGACGCCACCGCGAACAGAGCCGCTGGCCTCCGCGTTGCCGGGGTCTTCGCGCGACCTTTGCTTGGCAGCGCCGGCAGGGCGCGCCACGCGGCTGTGAGTGTCACTCCGTTTCACGCGCGATGGGTGGAGGCTGCGTACGCCAGCCCCGTCCCTGGTCCCGGGAGGCGTGAGAGGTTTATGCTTTCGGGTATCGTTGGCCACTGTGCGCACTTCTTGCAGCGGGTTCTCGCGGACGCGGCAGATGGCAGAGAGATCATCGGCCCCTTCTCCCGCACTTGGCCGCCTTGCACTCTCGCGCCCGTCCCCGTTCCGCGCAGTGCCATTTCTCGTGTTCCCCTGCGCCTCTCCCTCCCTGTCCTGCGTTCGGCCTAGCACCGTGCAGGCGTTCACCTCGTCAGCGTTCCTAACGCCGTGTTCAGGGCGGCACGATCTTTCCTGCCCTGCCTGCCTCACTGCCTTCTCCCTCACACATGGCCGCCATCCCGCCCCATGCGCTCTCATCGGCCTTACCATTCCCTTCCTCAAGCTCTGAGGTGTAGGAGCATACAGCGATACAGAGAGCGGGGACGGCAGACAAACCGAGACTCGGGAACAGCCCGAGCAGGCCCAGTATCCAATGACCTATACGACACGACCACCCTTAGACGAGGTTCTGGGGGGGAGGAACCAGCGTCTCACTCGATCGATATCAATATCGATCTCACGATCGATCTTCCTAGCTATCTCATTATCGATCTCACGATCGATGTAACTGTAAATATCACGATTGCTCCCACTATCGATCTCACAATCGATATCACTATCCCTCTCACTATCGATCTCAATATCGATATCACTACCGGTCTAACCACCGATCTCACCACCGATCTCACTATCGGTCTCACCACCCATCGCACCACCGATTTCTATCGATCTCACTATCGATACCACTACCGATAGCACCGTCGATGTTATCATCGATCTCACTATCGATTTCGCTCTCGATCTTACTGTCGATCTCATTACGGGGGACCGACGGGACGCCAGCGGGACACCGACGGGATTTTGGCGGGACACCCGCGGGACATCCCTGGCCACCGCCAGACAACCCGGGGTGGCGGTTGTTCGGCCCCGCGGCGCCCTAGCCAGAGGAGGGTTCATTCCTCTCTCTGTCTCACTGCGATCTCACCCCCTCACCTCCGATGAATGCTTTTTCGGAAGTCGTCGCGCAGGGTGGACATACCAAAGCTTGAGTCAGCCCGAGCAGCCACAAACAATTGCCAAGCTGTGGACAGGCATTTGGGGTGGAGTTGGTGGTCGTCGGGGTCACTTTTTGATCGATCCAGGAGGCCGTCGCAAAAAGCGGAAGGCCGTCAATTCACGTGACCCTTGTCGGAGCCAGAGACATCGTCTCCTGTGATCAATTTGAGGCTCTCTTGGGGTGTTCCTTGGAGGCATTTGAAGGCTGATTGGGGCATTCCAGGGCCTCACTTAGGGGATCTTGCACCCATTTGGGGCCCTCAGATGGCCATCGAACAGCGAAACGACGAGAACGCCAAACTCATCGAACAGCTATGTGCTTGCTCAGCGCGTTTGGCATCTCGGGGGCATCCTTTGGAAGTTCCTTGGCCACCTCGGACTGTCTTGTGGCGATCCGAGATGAGATGACGCACTCTTGGAGGCATGTTGGAGGCTACGTACCTCGAACTGAGTAAACCATCTTGCGCCGTCTTGAAGGCCATATTCTGCCACCGGGGGCTACCTTGGAGCCGCCCAGGGCTGGACGCCCTGACCCCCCGCGGAGAGGGCCCAGCCAGACTCACTGGAGGGGGGCGACGTGGCAGACGGGTGTGTGGCAGACGTGATGCTGGCTTGAAGAACCTGTTGGTGGTTTTGCAGGCGATGATTGCTGAGTTGACCACCCCAAAGAGCCTCGAGCGCGATGTTCTGGTATGCGTTTTTTCTCGTGGCTAAGAGGGATGCGAACAAACACGTCTTGACTTTCAACTTTCCCCCCCAGGGCGTCTTGTCCAGGATTATCTCCCTGGTTGAGTTTGCTATGGAGGCGGCGGGGAGGGGGAAGGGGTTTCGAGTGCACCACCAAAGGGTCAACTCTCTAAATGATGGCGTGGGTGCCTTGAGGCCCTCCCCCACCGAGGCAGGCCGCGAGCCGCTCGGGGGACGATGGTGCTGGCCACGCGGCATTCTGAGTGGTGCTGCAGGGCCCCTTGGCCAGAGCGTCAACTCATGAGTGTAACCATGATGCAACCAATTTGTCCGGCCACCGCTTTCAGCAGCAGGCGTCTAGATGCTTCTCACGAGGTGTGAAGGCGCCACGTGATAATTCAGACTGCTTCCGTGCCGCTGGCGATGCGATGCGATGGAAGATGGGTCCCAGGAAATGCGTCGAGACCTCTCGGGGTCGACGCGATGGGAAAACACATGACGTCGGAGCTTTGGGGTAGTGGCACACGGAGGAAGGGGGGGCTGATGGTTCCAAGGGTATTGGGTGTTGTTGCCGTCGACTTGGGGGGGTCTCCTGGGGGCCATCGTCGTCGCGGCTGGATCCGCCTCAAGGTTTCGGTCAGGGCGCGCACTCGGACAGGTCCAGGGGCCGTTTTCGAGGGGGAGAGAAGGGGGCAGGATTAGGAGGATATGGTGCACATGCGATCATTACGAAGACGAGGGGGGAAATTATGCTCGGTCAGGGCCTAAGGGGCTGACCAACAGTGGGTTTGGTATCGCTTTCTTTTCGAATGGCGATCGCCTGTCTGCCACCTAATGTCCGCTTGCAGGCGGCTCGCATAAACGTGCCGCCCTTAATCAGCCGCGATGCGTGCAGGGCGCGTCTATTCTTTGCGACGTTCCCGACGCAAGAGAGGCTCCGAGGCCAAGGGGCAGAGGGTGCTCAACTTGCAAGGCGGCGCCGCCCCCCTTGACCTGGGCAGCGCCGACGTGGCCTGGACCCCGACGGGAAATGCAGGACGTATCGCTACGCTGCTGCGCTTGAAATCGGTTGTACGCCCTTTGCCACGCGCGCATACAGAATCATGTGGACATCAAGGCGTTTGCCAGCGCGATGGCGTTCAGGCTCCGTGGACCAGCCTTGGCTCGTACCCACGAGTTTCAGAGCAGCGTCGTCCACGGCAGAAATTCTTGGAGTAGCGCGGTGGCCCTCCAGCGCCAAGGAAATTATGATTCTAATCCAGGAATGCGTTTTCACTGAGGCTTTCCCATGGGCCTGTCGCGCATCTGGCTCTCTCGCTTGGCCTGGCCTCGGCTACATCGCGATGCTCAGCGCACTCTACGTCCAGCCCGTGGCGTGAGTCTTAATCATAGGCAGTGGGGTGCCATTCACACCGGCCTCGGAGGGGGGCCCAGGGGGGCCCAAAGTCTTGAGATTTCTGGGCATTGCCATCCTGGTCCAAACTCCTCCAGGCCCATCCTCCTTCTGCAAGGCTCGTCCTTTCCCTCCCCGTCCGCTTTCTCCTGCAGATCTCCTCCTCCTTCTCCCCTCCCTGCTTCTTCCCCTCCCCCATTCCCTCTCCCCCCCCTTACCCCTACCCCTCCCTCCTCCCACCCCCACCCCCCTCCGTGGCTGCCCCCGGTGGCTGCTTTGGCCCGAGGCCAGGCCGTCCGGAGTGCCAGCTCCTCCGCCGGCGCTCACGCGCGAAAAGGAGCCGGATGCAATGGCGGACGAGCGCCGCAGCAGCGCGGCCCCCGCGGCCGGGGACGCGAGGCGGCGCGCTGCGGAGCTCCTGCGCCGCGGCCTGCTGGAGGACGCGCCACGGGCCGGCCCCGCCGCGGAAGACCCCCCCGCCGACGGCCCCGCGGGGGAGGCGGTGGCCGCTGGCGCAGCGCTGGCGGCCGCGCTCGTGCAGAAGCTCCAGGGCGCCGCGGCACCGCGGCAGGCAGCTGGCGCTCTGGAGGCGCTGCGCGGCCTGCGGGGCGTGCGGATGACCCCGGCGCTGCTGAGGCTCACCGGCGCTGGCCGGGTGCTCAGCCGCCAGTGCTGGCGGGGGCACGCCGACACGGAGGTTCTCAGGGGATCGCAAACATGGATCATGGGGGCGTGGATCGCGACGGGTCCCGCTTCCATGGGAAATCGCGGATTCCCCCCGCCGAACGAGGCGGCACCGGCCGCATTTTGGGGAGGGAACCTCCTCCGACCCATGGATGTGGCGACCGCGCGCCAAATCCATGGATCGCTGATAATCCATGTTTGCGCGCCCCCGAGGTTCGCGCGCTGGTGTCCGAGCTGCTGGCCTCGTGGCGCAGCGCGGCGAGGCGTTGCCGCGGGGAGGGGCGTGCGGGGTGGCGGCCCGCGGGCGACGACGCTGCCGCGGGCGGCGGCCAGCCCTGTGCCGCGGAGCAGGGCGGCGGCCGCTCGGCGGCAGAGGCGGCCCGCGAGCTGGAGCGCGCCGTGTTCGAGGCGGGGCTCGGACCGGGAGGCTACCGCGCCAAGGTGCGCGCCCTCGCAGCCGCGCTGCGCCGCGCGCCTGCCGAGGCCAGGGCCCGCGCGCGCACGGGCGAGCTGCCGGCGCGGCTGCTCGCGGCGGCCGGGGGCGAGGAGCACCTGCGGAGCGACTCGCAGCGGAAGCGCCGCGCCGAGGAGTCTCTGCAGTGCCTCGAGGCCTGCCTCGGGGCACGAGTGGGTGGCCCGGGCCGCCACGTGTTGGGCATCGACTGCGCCGGCAGGGATTGCCACGAGGAGTGCGAGAGACGGCACCTGGACGCGCGGGAGCGCGAGCGGGGCGGCTGGCCCACCCTGCCAGAGAGCCAGCTCTTGCTGTGCGTCGGGCCCGAGCGATCCGGGAGCACCTGGCTGTACAACGCAGTGCGTTTGCTGCACATCGAATCGCGGGTGCCCTGCGACTCGTACTGGATCGCGCGCCTGACCCGAGAGAAGTTGGCGGAGAGGCTGGCCGCGCGTCCGCCAGCCGTGGTGTGCGTGAAGACGCACGACTGGCACGCTGGTTATGAGGACCTCGTTGGGCAGGCCAGCCGAGTGCTCCTCACTCACCGGGATCTGAGGGGCGTCTGCGCATCATACCGGCGAGTCAAGTGGGACGTTGGGATTCCGGATGCGTACGTGGAGAGTCATATGCAATGGCGGCGGCACCACACCATGGACATTGCCTTCGAGGACATCCTGTGCGCGGGGCGCGAGGCCTTGCATCGGCTGGCGCAGCATCTAGGGCTGCCGGTGGCGGGTGACCCGGGCGGCCTGGAAGCTGTTCACAGCAGGCTCTGCGGGCTGAGGCGGAGCCACCTGGGCAACGCTGTGTGCCAGGTGACGAAGCTCTGGCCAGACCACGTCTCCGACGCGGCGAGACGGCTGCGAGACAAGGTCGCCGCAGGCGCGGCGCATCCGCGGGCCGAGGAGCTGAACGCCCTGAGGGATCCCGAGTACGAGCAGGTGTTGAACAGCCGCTTCTGCGCATACCAGGCGCTCTACGGATACGCGTGAGCTGCCTTGCCGCCCCCCTGCCGCCCCCGGGGCCGTTCCCACCCGTTGGAGATGTGCGTGGCTCTGGCCTTCCCAGCTGTCCCGGGCTGTTCCAGCCGCACCTGGGCGCTGGGAGCTTGCTCGGTTCGGGTCCTCTGGGCGGGGCCCTCGACCCTCGATCCCCCCCCCCCTTCGTTCCCCGATCCTCCTCGATCTCCGATCCTTCCCCTCGATTCTCGAGCCATCTGCTCCTCGTCTTGTGCGTGTTGCTTCGCTGTGTGTGGCTCCACGCGCCACTTTCTTTCATTTGTCCGACTCCTTCCTGCCCGGACCATGCATCCATCCTCTTTTTCCAGGTCGCCCGTGGTCTCCTCCCTGGTGGATCTGATATGCTCCGCGAAGTTCGCGGATGGAGAGGCCACAGGGGGCATGGAAGAAGAAACGCCTACATCCACATCAGCTTTCGGAGGTCCGCGTGGCTTTCTTGGATCGGCGCTGGATCCGCCCAGCGGCGCCTCCAGCGCTACCTCAGGCGCGCTCCGCGCGCCAGGGAGGGGGTCCAGCGCCGATCCAAGAAATCCACGCGGACCTCCGAAAGTTTATGTTTATGCAATGCAAGTATTCGTCTTCCAGGGAATTGCTCTAGCATCTAGCAGAAAAGAGTAGGAGCAGAGAGGGAGAGGACACACAGAGAAAGAGTAAAGGTGCAGGTAGAAACAGACGCATTGCTTGCCCCCCAGTGGTTCGACTAGCCTCTTTTCGTGATCTGTTTGGTAGCACTAACGGGGGATTAACTGAACGCCTGAGAAGATCCTGGCTACGGGCATGTGTTGATCAGCTTCTCCCAAGAATACCAGGAGCGGGCAGGTATTATTTCAGGTTCCGTTGTCGTTGGTTGCTGGGTCTTGTTGCATGGGCCGCGCCATTTGAAAGTTCAGGTGGTGACGCGGGTGCTTTATGGTATGCCAGTGTTTGGTGCATCGTGCAATCGCTTCATATCATGGAATTGGCAAAGGCGACGGACACACTCACTCCACTACGACGTAGCAAGCCCTGGGCGAGGGATGGATCTACGCGTGTGGCTGCGTGCCTTTCCCGCGCTCGGCCACTGTGTGGCTGGCTGGGCACCGTGGCCCTCCCCATGTGTATCCAGCGCGGTTTGCTGCTGCCCCCTCGGCTGCGCATCGTCGAACTCTTCGGCGTCTGAGCGTCCCTTCTTCCTCTCGGCCGTCCCCCTTTCCCTCTTTGCTCGCCGGCCAATTCGCTGGTTAGTGCCCCTATCTAGCTTCTCGCTGGACCCGAGTTCGCTGCCTCGCCGTTGGCGAAAAAAGTGTATCCAGCGCGTGACCCTCACCTGTTCCGCATGTGAATCAGCCGTTGGCGTCTCCAGCTTCCTGGCAAACCAGCCGGCGGTGCCTCTAGGCCTCCTGAGTGGGGTCCGAGTAGGTGGGGCCAGGGGATCGCGCCGCATCGCCGATGCATCGACGATGCGGCTCGATGTGGAGCCCGTGTTTCCCCGCGCCGACGTCGCCGATGCATCGCCGACGTCGCCGATGCACCGTTGATGCATCGCCGATACATCGGCGATGCAGTGGCGATGCGGCGCGATCCTTCGACCTCATCTACTCGGACATACAGTGGGGGCGCGCACCAAAAATCTGATTGCTCTTCGTCAGGGTACCCTGTTTTTTTTCGCATTGCGCGCTGCGCCGTGGCTTCCCATGGTCGTTGAAGGAGCTGCTGCGTTCAGGGTGCTCTGGGTTCCCCCCACTTGCATCTCGCGCCTGCGGGTTTCAGAGCTGTTTTTTTTGTGAGGGTTTCTTGCGGCCGCGCCCGCACTGTAATCTAAGAGGCCTCCAGTGTCGTCTTGCAGAGAGGGGGCCGCAGGGGGAGAGTCGGCGGGAGGCGCTGCGCGGATGTGCGTGAGCCGAGCGCCGGCCAGCCACCCAGCAAGGGCGGCCGTCGGGGTCGGCAGAAGCTGGCGGGTGCCACGGAGAAGGAAAAGACGAAGAAGAAGACGCATCACAAGTTGTTCTCCTTTTTCTCCCTCATTATCCCCACCATCACACCACCAAGTGAGCTTCACCTTTGTTTGCATATGATGTCGGGTATAGCCAGGACACCAGGTAAGGGGACCCGGTCAGTACTAGGGCCCCCGAGCCCCTCAATTGGCCAGAATCACTAAACCAGGTCTGCCGTAGATGTTGTTTTTTCGGGTGACGGCAGTTGCGGTTAGTGGAACGGGGCTTGGGGGGCGCCCCCAGTACAAATCACTAAACCAGGTCCCACTAAATCCAGATCTGCCTACGCCCGGATATGCGAGGGCTCGAACCAGTGCCCTGGACATTTTTGTTGTCAGAGGAGGCGGGGGAGGAGGCAGTAGGAGGGAGGAGGAGGAGGAGGACGAGTGACGAGGAGGATGACGAGGAGGAGGAGGAGGAGGAGGAGGGAGAGGAGGGAGGCAAGGAGGAGGAGGAGAAATTAACCTAGGTTAGATGATGTTTGTCAGCGTGGGCCCCTGATCAGTGAAATGTTACACTCTGGATGTCTATGTAGTGTGATCTGTGAGGTATGATCTATGTTGTGTGAGCTGTGAGGTGCAAGCTATGTGGCGCAAAACATGTGGTGCAATGAATGTGGTGAGTGCTAAGCGCTCAGCGGTGTAACCTGTTTGGTGCGAGCTATGAAGTATGAGTTATGTTGTTTAACCTAGGTGGCGCAATCTATGTGAAAGAGCGCGCCCGCAGCGCCGGGAACACGGAAAGGGGGGCCCCAGCTTCAAGCTACCCCCCCCTCCATTCGAAAAGGGGGGGAGCTTCCGAAGCACCCCCCCCTGCTTCTGCAAGGGTTTCCAAGCTATGGGGACCCTGGCTAAAGGGGGGGGGGCTTCGAAGCTATCCCCCCCCCGCCCTCCCTTTTCCAGAGCAGAAGGTGAGCCGGGGCTTCCCTTTCAGGGGGGGGGGGGGGGCTTCGGAAGCTACCCCCCCTCTTCTTTTTTTGGTCTGGACTCAGGGGGGGGGCGGCTTCGAGCTACTCCCCTCCACCCTCCTTTACAAAGGGGGGGGGCTTCCGAAGCTGCCCCCCCCTCCCTTCCGGGGTTATGGCAAAATGGCCGAATCCCTGCAGACAGGTGCGCACCGCAGCGCTAGAGAACGCATTGGAGAATAACGCCGACCCCTAATTCGTTTTCTTACTTTCTTGTTTTCTCAGCCCCTGGTTCGTAGTCTCGTTTTCTCGGCCCCTGATTTCTTTTATCGTTTTCTCGTTTTCTCGGCCCCTGATTCCTTTTATCGTTTTCTCGTTTTCTCGGCCCCTGGTTCGTTTTCTTGTTTTCTCGTGTTTTCGGCCCCTGGGTTGCGGTCTCGTTTTCTCAGACCTTGGTTCGTGTTCTCGTTTTCACGTTTTCTCGGCCCCTGGGTCGTGGTTTCGTTTTCTCGGACCCTGGTTAGGGGCGAGTTGCGCAGGCGTGATGAGATCTCGGCGGGAGCGAAGGTCACGAGGCTCCCCGAAGGCTGAATGTCGCATTCAGATCCGAAGAGTCTCCTGCGCGAAGTCGTCGGCCACCGCGCAGATGCAGGGCTGGCGTGTCAGCAAGAGGCGACGCGTTCACGCATGCTGTACGCAGACTTTTCACCGAGATACGGCGGGCGGAGACACTGGCAGCGCCGCTCGCGGGAGTTGATCCGCGAGAGATTTTTATTATCGCGGGGGCCCTGGGCCGTCGTCGCAGCTGGGCACTCTGGAGCGCGTTCCTGACGCCGTGGGGCTGGAGGGTTTCTCCGAAGGGCTTATGTGACCCCTCCTCCTCCTCCTCCTCCTCCTCCTCCTTCTTTTCTGTCTCCTCCTCCTCTTCCTCCCCTTCGCCCTCCTCCACCTCCTCCTCGAGCTTCTCCTCCTCCTCCTCATCCTCCTCACTGTCCTCAACCTCCTCCTCCTCCTCCTCCTCTTCCTCCTCCTCCTCCACCTCCTCCTCCTCCTCAGGTCGCCTGCGGCCCCGGGGGAAACCGTGCACGTGGAGCCATCACAGCGGCTTCGGACGGCATCGGAAGGCTTCTTCAACGAGTCGGCAGGCCAATTTGTGATTTCGCCTCCAGAGCGCTGCGAGAACGAGCCGCGGATCTACATCGTCGCCAGAAGAGCGGCCCGGCGCACCTTTCCCGAGCGACGCACAGGCGAAGTCCAAGTCGTTAGCCGATGCAACAAAAAAGAAATCCGCTCCATCTGCTCGGCGAGGCAACCAGGCACTATAGCGTTGGAGTTCTCGGCCAAACTGCGTTTCGATGGGCCCCCCTTCTGCGCCGCGATTGCGCTGGCCTTTCCTGGGCCATGGCAGGAATTGCTACGCGTGTTCTTCTACCTCCTTCCTGCCAAGGGCGAGGCAAATGAGTCTTTCGAGCGCGATCTAGATCGAGATGGTACCCTGGGCCCTGGCAGCGAACGCGCGCGGCGGCCATCTCCCTGGGCCTGCGGCCTTCGGGATGACGCGGGCGCCTGCTGCGACACCGCCAGCATTTTATCAACAGGCGCCACTGGCGCGTCCTCGCAGACTCCGCAGTTACCGCGGGGCCCTCGCCCCCTGTGCCAGCGGCCGTTGACGCCGCCCCGTTCCGCTAGGGCCCAGCGACGAAAACCAGCGCCTGCTCCACCGGCGCCTCCAGCGACAGCGGCGCGTCCACCGCCTCCTGCACTGCCTCGCCAGATACCTGCAGTGCCGCGCAAGTGGGAGATGCCAGACGCGCCGATGGCACCTCCACCACAGCGGCCACCAGGAGCATGCCCGCCAGCGGTTCACCTTGAGGCAATGGCGAGACCTCGCGTGCAACTGGCGCCCCCGATCTCGCGAGTCTTGGCGCAGATGCCTCCGAGTTCGACGCATTCTCCATCGCCGGCAGCGCCGAAAGCATTGCCGATCCAGGCGGGCAGTTTCATCCCGTGTTTTTGCAGGGTGGGGGGTCCCGACAACAGCACACACGGAGGGCCCAGGGGGGGCGTCAGCTGTGGTGGGGGCGTGGTGGGGGGTGCCGGCGCGTGTTTTTGCAGGGTGGGGCGTCTTTAAAACAGCACACGGAGGGCCCAAGAGCCTGGGGGTGTCTGACGTAGTGGGGGCGTGGTTGGGGGTGCGGGCGCGTGTTTTTGCAGGGTGGGGGTTCCCGACAACAGCACACACGGAGGGCCCAGGAGGCTGGGGGTGTCAGACGTGGTGGGGGCGTGGTGGGGGGGCCCCGGCGCGTGTTTTTACAGGGTGGGGGGTCCTTAAAACAGCACGCACGGAGGGCCCAGGAGCCTGGGGGTGTCAGACGTGGTGGGGGCGCGGTGAGGGGTGCCAGCGCGTATTTTTGCAGGGTGGGGGGTCTTCAAAACAGCACAGACGGAGATGGGGGCGTGGTGGGGGGTGCCAGCGCGTGTTTGTGCAGGGTGGGGGAGTCTCTAAAACAGCACGCACGGAGGAACCAGGAGGCGGGGGGTGTCGGACGTGGTGGGGTGGTGGTGGAGGGTGCCAGCGCGTGTTTTTGCAGGGTGGGGAGTCTTCAAAACAGTACGCACGGAGGGCCCAGGAGCCTGGGGGTGTCAGACGTGGTGGGGGCGTGGTGGGTGGTGCTGGCGCGTGTTTTTGCAGGGTGGGGGGTCTTTCAAACAGCACACACGGAGGGCCCAGGATGCTGGGGATGTCTGACGTGGTGGGGGCGTGGTGGGGGGTGCCGGCGCGTGTTTTTGCAGGGTGGGGGGTCCCGACAACCGCACACATTGGGCGCGCAGGAAGAACATAGGTGGAATTTGTTGGATGGGGGGTGTCAAGAACAGAGCTCCCAAGACGGCGCGTGGGTGAGGGGAGGTGCGCGGCAGGGTCGGTTCAAGGCTAGAAATTGTCGAGTGGGGGGCCCAAGAACAGTGCCAGGTTCCGAGGGGTGCGAATGCCGAGGCGAGGAGGGGGCCGTTGGTCGGTTTCGGGCGCAGAATTGCGGTGCGTGGAGTTCCAAGAATCCATGTTCCGAGTGGTGCGGATGCCGAGGCGAGGAGGGGGGCATTGGTCGGGAGTCCCAAGGACTGAGCTCTCGTGGGGTGGGGGTGCTGGGAGGTGGTGAGCGTGTGGGTGGGGATGCCTCTGAGGTCAGCGGATGCAACACCACGGTTCCAGGTCCCTGGGGGGGCCCAGCCTCATTTCTCTATGGCGGGACTGGGGCTCCAGGACGCCTCCCAAGAAGCACCAAAGACGGCCCCAGGAGGGCCCCAGGACGGCCCAAGAGGAATCAACACGCCTGAGACTGCCTCCAAGACAGCCCCGAAGCGCTCCAAGCGGGCTCGAAGACTGCGAAGACGACTTCCGGCAGCGTCCGACGGGCCAGGAACGCTTTAAGACAGCCAGAGAGGCTGGGGCAATGCGGAAAGATGGTTGCCGCGGGGCACGCGTGCACGGGTGCGCTGAACTCCTTGTGGGGCACGATCCGCGTGAAGGGCCGCGCAAACACGCCCACTGAAGCCGCAGGTGGACCTCCTCTGGGCACGTCCCGTGCCAGGCATGTTCCGAAATGGGCGCAGGGGCACCACGCAAAGATGCCCGTTCGCGTGACAGGCGTGCCGACATGGGCGGGGGGGGCGTTGTTCGAACCTTCCGGGCCTTGAATTAGGTGGTGCTCCTCGTGGGCATGATCCACGTCACGGGGTGTACCGCAGTGGTTCGGGGGGGGCGCAATGCGAACCCTGCTTCGGGGGCCGTGGGTGGAGATCCCTGTGGGCCACGATCATGATCCGTGTGCGAGGTGTGCCGAAGTAGGCGGGATGGCGGGATGCGAACCTTGTCTTGGGGGCCGTCCGTGGATGTCCTTACGGGCCACGATCCGTGTGAGAGGTGTGCCGAAGTGAGCGGGCCGATAATATGAAGCTCCCCTCTGGTGCCACAGATGCATTTAGATGCGGGGCACGGTCCGTGTGAGGGGCGTGCCATTGTGCGAACCTCGTCTCTGGGGATGTAATCACGTGGGTCTCTCTGTGGGACGCGATGCCTGTGAAGGGTGTGCCGGCATGGGCACGATCCTTGTGACAATCTATGTCCTCCGATGCCGAACACTTTAGACTACAACTGGAGCTCGCTGGAACCTAGCGCGCGCGAAGCGCGCGCGTAGTTCTAGTGTTCGTATGTTGGGGATGGTGGTGATGGTAGCCTGATAGTTGTGAATATGTTGACCGCTTGGTGTGCCGTGCGTGGTGCTGGTGACGGTACCCGCGCTGCTGCCCGTAAAAGCAATGAGAGGCCGCGTTGGCGGCACTTGCACTCGTAGGCTGTCAAGCGTGATCTCTCGTGTCTGCTTTGGACGGGGGGGTCGAGTTTTACATTCTGCTTTCTCGGCGTCGTTGACGGCACCGCTCTCTAGCGTTGGCTTAGACATTCGTAGCACTGGCATAATTGGATAGACATGGTCCAAGATTTTTCGTAGAATTGGTCGGTCAAAATGCAGTTGGGCTGTAGAACTGGCCGGGAGCATAAATGGAACACAGTGAATCAGAGTGCCTTCTTTCGAAACCGACCAGTTCTACGGCCGACCATGCATGTTGACCGCTCACTTCTATGGCCAGTTGTCTGGCCAGTTCCTTCCCGTTGTGCCATTTCGACGCGCTACAGAAACGGTTGCGGACCCGCCACAGCGCGCTGATGTCATTCGGGGGCGCGTCCCTCACATCCAACATCGACCTTCGTGCCAGCATGGGACCCGCCAGCCGCAATCCGAGACGTGGACAACATGGGACCATTTCCGCCCTCCCCCTCCTTCCTTTCGATCCCCCCCAGTCCCACTGCTCCCCTCCTCACTAGGGGAATGATGTAGGCTGCGTTGCTTTCACAGTGGGGATGCCTGTTCTGAGGACTTGCGCTGCGAGCCTGTGGCCGAGACCACAGTTCATCCTGGGAAGGGTACAGTCACAAATGTGGATGCATGCGGGTGCCATGGTATGGTGAACGCCTTACACGTGCTTCTTCGAGACAAGCGTGTGTAATTTTAAGAACCAGGCAGAGTTACTTCCACGAAGCTTCTCGCACTGCGGTGGCAATTACGGGCAGTATGAACGTTGTGCCACGTCGAAACAATACTAATCATCATCATCATCACCACCACCACCATCATCATCATCATCATCATCATCATCATCATCATCATCATCATCATCATCATCATCATCATCATCCTCATCCTCATCCTCATCCTCATCCTCATCATCATCATCATCATCATCATCATCAGCAACATCTTCAGCAACATCATCAGAATCACCACCATCACCATCACCATCACCACCATCACCATCACCACCATCACCATCACCACCATCACCATCACCACCATCACCATGATCGTCATCATCATCGTCGTCATCATCATCATCATCATCATCATCATCACCATCACCATCACCATCAACATCAACATCATCATGAGCATCCGTTCTCTCCTCCCTCTCTGCCCTCCCTCCGCCTCCTCCCTCCCTGGCCATCCCCTCGCTGGTCCTCCCCCGCCTGGCCTCCCTCCTCGTGCCTCCCCCCCATCCTCCCGCCCTGCCCCTCCCCGGCGCTCCGGCCTGGCCCCCCTTCCGTCCCCAGACCCCTCCAGGGAGTCCACTTCATGGAGACTGTCACGCCAGCTCCGTGTTCGAAGGTCCTGGGGCCCGACAATAGCCCCTGGAGACCCTAGAAACAAAAAAGTCTTCTCGAACCCATCCCCGCGCCACCGTGCCATCGACGACGACGACGACGACGACGGCGACGTCGACGACGAGCCCCGCCGCCCTGCGCCGCTCAAACCCGCTTCCGCGCGAGCGGGCACCCCCCCGCCCCCGCCGCTGCATGACTCCGCCACCTCGGCGGCGCCCGGCCCCCCCTCGAAGCCCTTGTGGGGGCGCGGCCGGCGGAGGAGCCCCGGCCTCGGCGGCCGAGCGGGGAGGAGCCCAGGAACCTGATCGGGCAAGAACGGGACGCGCCGCTTTAGTCCAAGGGGCGTCTTGTCGGAGCTTAATAGACCTCCTACCCTGACACGTCGAGTAGTAGCGAGTCGGCCGTTTTCGGTTCGCGAGAGGGCGTCGGGGCCGTCTTCATTACATGGTGGTTTATTGCAGGGAGGTTTGTCCACCGCCGAGCTTATTGCGGGAAGACGAAGAAGAAGAAGAAGAAGAAGAAGAAGAAGAAGAAGAAGAAGAGGAAGGCGAGGGCGACGAGGAGGCGATGACGAGGACGACGTGGAGAACGTGAGGATATCCAGGAGGAGCATGAGGACAACGAGGAGGAAGAGAAACACCAGGACGGCGGCCGAGCGGGGAGGAACCCGGAAATCCGACGCTCCGATGCTCTTTAGGCGTCGCGTAGAATGGGGGGGCGATAAATTGCAGGGCAGCAGGGCACCAGAGAAGGGCCCTTTGGGGCCGCTATAGAGGCCCTCTCCAGGGCCCCTACGGGGACCTCCGGGGGGCCCGAGAAGTGCACCGTTCTTCCCCCCAATCGATCGCCCCCCTATGAAGCGACGCCGAAGCTGCGAAGCTCCGATGATCCGATGACTATTTTCGACCTCCGGGGGCCCTCCACGGGCCTCGGGACCGTCAAAGATCGCCGCGGGATGAAAAACCTGTCTGGAGGAAAAAACTGGAGCGCCGTGTGTCTGGGAAGGGGGCTGACGCAGGCAGGAGGGCGGAGGGGAGAGGAGGGAGGGGGAGAGAGGTGGGGGGAGGGGCCATGGAGGAGAGGGGCCAGGGAGGGGATGGGGAGGGGGAGGATGGACGAGGGAGTGGGGCGGGATCCAGGCGTCCCAAACGGGGTCTGGGCAGACGGTGTCGGAGGATCGCGCCGCATCACTGATGCATCGAAGATGTGGCTCGATGTGGAGCCCAATTTTCCCCACCCAGACGTCGCCGATGCATCGGCGATGCGGTGCGATCCTCCGGCCCCATACACGGTGGGGGCGTTGGTTAAGGACTGTGCTAAGGAGGTTGCAGACCCTGGAGGATTCCTTATTTGATGAGGCCGGCGGTGATTTCCATGGCCAGCCCTCAATTGGAGTACACCGGCCTCCAGACCCTGGATTCCTTATCCACGGGTTCCTTATCCATGCCCCCACCGTACTCGGACACCGCTTGGGAGGCCCATAGTTGGGGAGGGAGGAGGAAGGACCTCCGGGAGAGGCATGGGGCCGATTTGCTTCGTGGTTCTCTAGGGTTTTCGGCGACCGTCGCAGGTCCGCGAAGGTTTCCGGAAAGGGGATGTGGAGGGTACGGAGGTCGAGGGGACGGACGGGGGAGAGGAGGAAGGAGGAAGGAGGAAGGAGGATCTCGTTGCCTGTCCAGTTGCTTTTCCCCACGACCGGCTTGCCCACATAAGTTCTTGCCTGCAGTGCCAAGTCCTGCGCTTGCGAAGTCAATGTCCAGCCCCCTGCTCTGTTTTGACTTTGCGCTGTCTTGTGTATTCCAATGCATTTCCGAGTGTATTCCTGTGGATCCCCTGCGTTTTCCCATGGATCCCTATGGACGTGTCGCTCGAACCTCAAGGGTACGCCCATGGATTCCAATACGTATCCCAATGGTGTTCCAATGGAGTCCAATGGGTATTCCCATGAATTTCCATGGAGTCCAATTGAATCCAACGGAGTCCGAAGGAGACCGGTTGAGTCCAAGTGGGTCCAACGGAGAAAAGTGAAGTCCAATTCTGCTCAATGGAGACCAACGGGATACGACCACTTGGTAAACTTTGATCCGGAGTCAACGCTGGTAGAACTGTGATGTCTTCTTCCCTCCCTCCCTGCCTCATCCTGTACCTCAGCATCGGCAGAGGATTTCAGATGGCGTCAGTTCCGAGCCACACCGAGGAGGAGGGGGGATGAGAGGCAGGATGGAGTATGACGAGGAGGACGAGGACGAGGAGGAGGGGGAGGACGACGACGACGACGATTGATCGATCGAGGTGACTGCGGATTGACTACAGCATGGTGCGGTAAATCATGTTATGCGGCCTGGCAGTGGTTCACTCTGTGGGAGGTCGCCAGCGCCACGCGGCGCTCGTCCGTTGTCGTTCTGTTCGGAGATGTGCGCTGTCCTGTCCAAGCGGTGTTCCCTCCCAGAGCCACTCGTCGAGCCTGGGTACATCCAAGCATTTGTGACTACGGCTGCCCGCCGATGTATGCCTTCCCACAGCGTCGTAGATGAGAATCCGCTTGGCATCTCGCGTGCTGCTGTACCCTTGTTTCCCATATCATGGGATGGGGTTCTTATCATTACTTGGACGCCTCTGGACCTCCTTCTCCTTCCTCCTCTTCCTCTTCTTCACTCAGGCCACTCGCATACTCTGATCCTCCTCTTCGTCTCTCCCTCTTCCTCAATCAGATCACTCACATGCCCTGATCCTCCTCTCACCGTCTCATATCCAGATCACTCATATCCAGCTCACACTCACATCACTCTTCTTCCTCCCTCACGCACATCACAATCAGACTCACTCATACTCGGAACCACGCAGACTCAGGCTGACTCATAATCCGACCCACTCTTCCTCACTCGGTCTCAGTCACGACCCCTCGCCATTCAGACTCCCTCATACCCAGAATCAGTCACATTCTGATCAGAGTTCGTTCTTTGGTGGGCCCGTTCGCGCGCTCAGATTGTGAGGTGTCTCGAGCGGTTCGCTTGTTTGGGTGCGCAACATCAGGGGCATACTGCAGAGGATGTCTCGAGCGAGGCGCTGGTTGCAGCACTCCAAATGGGGAGCTGCCAAGGCGTTCTCACTGAGTTGCGCGTTAGGGTGCGCAACATCTTTTGCTTTCAGACCAGTTTGTGCGGATCTCTCGAGCGATGCGCTGGTATTAGCACTCCCAAAGGGGAGCCGCCAGGGGGCACGGAGCCCTTCGCGTTCAGATTATGACGATGCCTCGAGCGATGCGCTGGTTTCAACACTCCCAAGGGGGAGCCCCCAGGGTGTTCTCACGGGCCCGTTCGTGTTCAGATTGTCGGGATGGTTCGAGCGGTTTGCCTCTTTGGGTGCATAGCATCGCTTGCTTTTAGAACAGATTGTGAGGATGCCTCGAGCGATGCGCTGGTTCCAGCACTCCCAAGGGAAGGGGGGGGGGCAGGGTGTACTCACGGGCCCCATTCGCGCTCAGATCGTGGGGATGTCTTGAATGGTTTGCCTATTTGGATCCGCTACGCCATCTGCTTTCAGAGCAGGTTGGTTGCGAGGATGTCTCGAGCGAGGCGCTGGTTTCAGCACTGCCAAGGGGGAGCTGTCATGGTGTTCTCACGGTTCAAATTGCGGGGATGTCTCGAGCGGTTTGCTCGCTTGAGTGCGCAACATCATGTGTGTTCCAGGGCAGGTTGTGAGGATGCCTCCAGCGAGGCGCGGGTGTCAGCTTTCCAAGGGGGAGCCGCCAGGATGTTCTCACGGGCCCGTTCGTGTTCAGTTTGCGGGGATGCCTCGAGCGGGTTGCTTGTCGGGGTGCGCAACATCCTTTGCTCTCAAAGCAGATTGTGAGGATGTCTAGAGCGAAGCGTTGCTTTCAGCACTCCGGAAGGGGAGCCGCCAGGGTGTTCTCATGGGCCACTCCGCGTTCAGTTTGTGGGGATGTCTCGAGCGGCTTGTTTGTCATGGTGCGCAGAAGCCTTTGCGTGCAGAGCAGACTGCGAGGATGGATCGAGCGACGCGCTGGTTTCAGCACTCCCAAAGGGGGAGCCGCAGGGTGTTCTCACGGGCCCGTTCGCGTTCAGATTGTGGGGGCGTCTCGAGCGGTGTTTGGTTTGGGTGTGCAGCATCCCCTGCTTTCAGACCAGGTTGCGAGGATGTCTCCAGCGAGGCGATGGTTTCAGCACTCGCCATGGGGGAACTTCAGGGTGTTCCCATGCCATTTGCCAGGAGCCTACGATGTTCTCCGCGTCGAGTAATTATCTTCGCGCCTTTGCGTGCCCTGCGTCGTGTGCGGGTCGGTGCAGCGCTGCTGCTTCTCTTATGTCGCGATTTCCTTGGCGTCCAGCCTGTCGTCCTGGTCGGCGACAGTGTGCTGCTCCACGTACGCCATGGTGTCCTTGTCGCACAGCGAGGCGTCCTCGTCTGCGAAGCCCTGCTGCTCCTCGAGCGTCTCGGTGTCCGCTGTGCCCAACGCCACGCCCTGGCCGTCGTAGCTCTGTTGATCCGCGTGCGCCGTGGGGTCCTTAGTGCGTTGTGCCTCCTCCTGGTCTGCGAATCTCTGCTGCTCCTCGTGGGTCGCTGTGCCCTTGGTGGCCAGCGTCGCGTCCTGGTTGGCGAAGCTCTGCTGCTCGTTTGTCGCAGAGTCCCTGTCGTTCAGCGTTTCGCCCTTTTTGCAAAGCGCCTTATCCTAGTTTGCGATGCTCTGCTGCTCCTCGCACGCCGCGGCGTCAGTTCTGTCCGGCGCCTCGTCCTGGTCCGCGAATCCCTGCTGCTGCTCGTGAGTCGTGGTGTCCTAGTCGCCTAGCGTCCCGTGCTGCTCTGCTAAGAGTTGCTGCTATTCGTGCGCGTTCGTGTCATTGACGCTCAGCGTCTCCTCCTGGTCTGCGGGGCTCTGCTGTTCCTCGTGCGTTGAATTGCACATGGTGTCCAGCGCTGCGGCCTGGTCTGCGTCGTTCTGCTGCTTCTCCTGCGTCGCGGCGTCCTCGTGTCCCAGCGTCGTTGTCTGGTCGGTGAGGCTCTGCTGCTCCTCGTGCACCGCGGTGTCCAGATACGTCCAGCGCCGCATCTTGGTCCGCAAGGCTCTGCCACTTCTTGTGCATCGTGGTGTCCTTGGTGGTCATCGTCGCGCCCTGGTCTATGATGTTCTGCTGCTCCTGGAGCGACACGATGGCGAAGAAGTCTTGCTGGGCCTACCAAACGCAGTGTAGGAGGAGTCGCTCATTTTGCATGGTGATCGGATTGTTGACAATCAGAGCGGGAGGAACAGCGAATGTGGCTGTCCACGCTGTCGCTTTCTCCATGCGGGCCGTCACCTGAGTCATTATGTCAGCGTGAACTGGGTATTGACAGCATGGGCTCGCAAGTTGCCCTGGTAATATCTTGGGCCCAGATGGCAGCTGGAGGACAACGAAGGGGAGGAGGAGGAGGAGGAGGAGGAGGAGGAGGAGGAGGAGGAGGAGGAGGAGGAGGAGGAGGAGGAGGAGGAGGAGGAGGGAGTGTGACGAGGAGAAGCAAGAGAAAGACGAGGAAGAGGAGGAGGAGGAGGAGGAGGAGGAGGAGGAGGAGGAGGAGGAGGGAGCGTCGGCGGACGATAGCGGCGCACGAATCGAGCTGCCACCGCTGAGGGGGACCTCTTGAAGGGCCCTCGTCACCGCTGCTGGGTTCGCCTCGAAATCCAAGTCAGAACGTGATTCAGGGCAGGTCCGGAGTCAGTTCTGCGCATATTTCTGCGAGTGTCAAGAGAAGGAGCCCATCCCACGCTAAACATTCCGTGCTCAGGAAATTGATATAGACTTGTGAGCCTTCAGGGGCTTGAGACCCTGCGGAAGGGGATAAGCCCACCAGCCATCCCTGCAACATTATGTGTTCGGGTTCCGTTTCACCCATTTCATGTGCGGCGGTTTCCTACAGACGTATTCTTATTATTTAGAACGGAATATGGGCGACGGGAGGGTAGCAGCGGGCTTCTGAAGATCGCGGATCGCATCGAACTTGCGATATCGGTGGATGCGCTATGACATCAGTTGTGATGTCGTTGCCGATTTCTGCTCGCGAGTTCCTATGCACTAGCGACGTGGATAGAGCCTCGTGCTGAGGTCGTGACGGGGCACTTGCGCTCAGGGTTATGAATGAGTATGAGTACATCTACATGAAAAAGAGGAAGGAGTTCGGCCGGTACTGCCAGTTTGAGGATGTGGATGCGCAGGTACACGCGCAGATTGACAGCAACCCTGCTAGTGGCAATCTGTACATCGAGAGGACGATTATTAATGCCGTGCTTGACAATATCCCTGAGCTGTCAGAACATTCTGTCAATACTGCTCGGGTGCAGATGCAGAATCAGATCATGCTGCACGTAGAGGGTGGTTGGCCCAAGGAGGTAGATTACTTGGAGGCTCAGGACACGCTCAAATTCAAAAAGCGCTTGGAAAAAAACCCTTCGTACATTCAGTCCGTCAGGGATTTGACGAAAAGGGCAACGGAGTGTCTCGAGCAGAACAATACGATTGATTTGTTCGAGGTCTATTTCGAGTCACAGGAGCCAGAGCACCAGCCGGAGGCCGTCACAATGAAGACCACCGCGCTGTTCAAGGATCCTGCCGAAGAGCCCAGGAATATCACAAAGATCTGTTGGAACCCAGAGGGGCCATCGAAGTTTATCGGCTCGTACTCGATACTCAAGTTCCAGCGAATGACAGACGATATGGCTATGGCATCTTTTGTTTGGGACGTCAACGAGCGCAACGTTCCCTTAACGGAGCTCCGGACAACTTCCCCGTTGGTGTGCACCCAGTATAACAGCAAGCAGCCCGATCTCGTCGTCGGCGGCTGCTACAACGGTGCCTGGTTTTTCTTTTCTCTAGGGCTTCTGTATGTTTACCCGAGCTTCAGGCCACGAGCGGGAGTGAGGTCGCTATATGATGGGCTCGTGTGCTTGACGACCCTGCCCCCAGCTTGCCTTCGTCCTTGCTGTTTCGTTTCCCCGCCTCGCTGCTGCCCAGCCGTCCTTCTGTCGTGCCCCGCAGCCTTGCCGCCCCGCTGCTCTGCCACCTTTTTCTGCGCTGCCGCCCCGCCGATACGTCTCTTCGGGCAGTCGAACGAAGTTAGGATGACGAGCTTCCGACCGCGCGAACCCACCTGTGAGCTGCTCACTTTCTGGCCGCCTCGGGGCGGACAGGTCGTGGCGCATAACCTCTGCCATCTTGGCGTCCGGGCAGGCCCACAAGAGCCCCGGGTGGGCCTGGTCTCCAGGAGAGCTCTGGCTGGGGAGGGCAGGTTTTCACACGCCTGGGGGCCCGAGGGAGGGGGCAGACTGACTTTCAGTGTCGGTGTCCTGATTTTGTAGGTCGTGGAAGTTCTCACGCTTGGAGTACCATCCGCGGGGCCACTCTTCCTCCCTGGCAGATGTGATGTATCTTTTACCCCTGATTTTCAAGTCTGATTCGGAGGTGGGGCGTGGAGGGAGTGACGGGTACCGTCTTCATTGTTTCTTCTCTCGTGTTCCGTCGTTATTGCGTTGAGCGGGCTTCGAGTTGGGGACGTAATAATGTCTGCAACGTTGTGACTGTGTCCCGCCTACATTGATGAGCCTGTTGTCCACTACCACCACCATAAGTTGGAAGGGGGAAGGAGGAGGAGGGCGAGGAGGAGGGGGACGAAGAGGAGGAGGAGGAGGAGGCGGAGGAGGAGGAGGAGGAGGCGGAGGAGGACCCCCCCCTCCAATTTATGGTGGTGGTAGTGGAAAACACGCCCAGCACGGACGCAAGCCACCCGCTCTTCAGCTGCTCTGCCTCCTCTGGCCCTCTCGGAGCATATATGGCTTGAGGTATGGGTGCTGTTTGGGGGCCCGATCACCTTTTCAGATATTGTTTGCGTGGGGCACGTTAGTAAAATGATTTGCGGGCGAGCCGGAATTTCACGAACCGAGAAGACATCACAGGTACAGTCTTCCAGCGAGGACATCGGGCCAGAAGTCGCACACGGCATGGGAATCGATTCTTGCCATCGTATCGTTGGTGCAATTTTTGTTGTGCATGCGCACTGCAATTCGGATTGGCATGCTCTGATGAACATCGACATTGTGAGCAGTAGACGTGTGCATAGCACCCGGTTGCCGTCCAGGTGTCATCCGTCCTTCCGCTTGTTTCCCCCTTACATGCAGGGTTCGTCCCGGAGGTTAGCTGCAGGAGTGCCTCCTGGCAGCGGGGGGCCAATTCGTTTGGAAGTCCAGCCAGGGTGCAGGCTCACCTTTCACCTCGCTCCCTGGGCGATGCTGAGCGTACAGCTGTTGCCCCAAGTCTCTCGCGTACCCTGTGGGGGTCCTCCGATTGTCCGGGCCGCGCCTCACATCCATGTCGGGGAACCTCGTTGGTGGCCGAGGCTCGCCGTGGCCAGAAAAAAGCCCCCTCGTTCCTGATTCACCTTCCTCATGGTAGCACGTGGAGGGTTTCTCCGAAGGGCTTAGGCGACCCGTCCTCCTCCTCCTCCTCCTCCTCCTCCTCCTCCTCCTCCTCCTCCTCTTCCTACTCCTCCTCATCCTTCCTCCTCCTCCTCCTCCATCTCCTCGCCCCCTTCCCCCTCCTCCATCTCCTCCATCTCCTCCATCTCCTCCTCCTCCTCCTCCTCCTCCTCCTCCTCCTCGTGTCGCCTACGGCCCCGGGAGAAACCGTGCAGTAGCACGATGACTGTCAGTGAGTTTTCCTGCCGCCCCAGATGGCTCGAGGAGTCCTCCGGAGGCCTCCTTGAGCCTCGAGGGTCGAGGGAAAATTTTGGCAGCAAGTGTGCGCACCCCCCAAACCAGACCTTGCTCATTCTTCGGCATACGTTCGGGTCGGACGCACGCCTCCAATGAGGACATTTTCTGAATATCGTGTTATTGTGTCCTTGTGCGTTCGTCAGCCGTCGTCAGTGTCTTGAGCCTCGCCAGAAGTTCCGCGGAACGGCGTCAACAAGCGTCTTTCCTTCCTGCTCCTGCCTCTCTGCCTCCCCTCTCCCTGCCTCCCTCCCTGCCTCCCTTCCTGCCTCCCTGCCTGCCTGCCTGCCTGCCTCCTCCCTCCCTCCCTGCCTCCTCCCCCTCCCTCCCTCCCTCCCTCCTCGCTCCCTGCCTCCTCCCGTCCATCCCACATCGGAAACATCTTTGGGATGTTTTTAGTAGTGGAAGGCGCAAGGCACAGCGACTGATCGATAACATTGCCGAACCATCTTTCTCTGCGGGCTCTCTCGCCCCCAACCCTTCCCTAGAGGGGCAGGTTGATTTTCCCTGGAGGGAGGGTCCGGTTGCATCAGCATTGAAAGCATCGCTCTATGGTTTGCTCCACTACTACGACTTGAGAAAGGGCCCTGTACCAGTGGCGAAGTCAGCAGTGGAGGCGACACACTATGATCCCATCTACGACGTAGTTTGGCTCCAGAGCAAAACGGGCTCAGACTGCGCGTCTGTATCATCGGATGGCCGGCTGCTCTTTTGGGACGTGCGGAATCTGAGTGTCACCTCAGACGAGTGCGTGCTTACAGACGGGGACAAGGAGGATCCGAAGTCTTCTGGGGGCGTCTCTCTGGAGTGGATGCAGGAGGCCCGCAGTCTCCATATACTTTCCGACGATGGTGCAATCGACGAACGTGGCGCTACATAGTATGTCCATGAGTACCATTAACGGCGACCATGCGGTTATTCATAGTTTGATAGTTTTCCCATGCAGTGATGACGCGCATGATGAAGACGACACGATCGTACGTGTTGCTGTCAATATCGTTTGTGATGTCGTTGTGGTGGTTCGGCATACTTCCAGGCGGTCGAATTGTACCATGTCAGCATCTCGAACAAGGTAGGTTCGCGCGGCGTTGGCGCGCCGGCGACGCCGGCGAAGGCGTTCAAGGTTGAATTCTGCGACGCGGAAGCACCGAGGGACACGATAACGCCACTGGGCCCGACGGAATTCAACCTCGAACGATCGGAGCCGCGATCGATGCAAGGTTGAACGATCGACGCGGTGTCAGAAACCTCTGCGCGCGCCGACGCCGCACGAACCGACCGCACCCGCAGAATAGCGTCCTGCTCCTCCTCGACCCGCGAGGGTCCGGAGGACCAGGATCAGGCCGCCAGGGTGATGATGTGGGTGGGGGAGGGAGGAGGAGATGAAGGAGGAGGAGGAGGAGGAAGAGGAGGAGGAGGAGGGAGGAGATGATAATATTGGAATGAGGGGGATAATAGATGGTTCGGAGGGATGAGGGAGCAGATTCAAGCATTGGCGAAGCGTCCTGGCTCGTGTATATGCCCACCGTAGACTGTTCAACTAATCTTTTGTGGTCTGCACGAAGTGTTCTCAGAGCATTTCTGGCAGGGACTGTCTTGTTTTAACATATTGGGATGTTATAAGAACATTGTTTTTGTTTTTAGAACATATACTCGTTCTAAGAACATGTCGTGGTAGGCCTATAGGAATGCCGGGACGGTCGGGGGTTTGCTCAAGAGGCGAGTTGTGGGATGAGGGAGTTAATAAGTGGTTCGGAGGGAGGGGAAGGAGGAGAGGAGAGGAGGACACGCGCTCAGCTTCAAACGCCCTTGTGGGGACGCCTGCTTTCAGAATCGGCAGGCTGAAGTCATGCTCTGTTCATAGAGCAGGTGCGCGAGGGTCATGGCATCGGAACACACGGTCTGCAGCTTTGACTCACTGAAGGAGCCTTTTCATTAGAGGCAAAGTGCCGAAACACAGCATCACCGAACCAAAGCCACGTGTAAATATTCTCTTCTCCCGATCAGTGTGCGCTCATGGGTCTGCTAACAAGCGGAAACACATACTTTGCACATCTGTTGGGTGTTGTCATAAGCATGAGGCTGAAGCCAGACGTTTTCAATGATGGGCACGAGTGAGAAGGTATATAGAGAGTTGTAGTTTTAGGCTCGGTGGCATTGTGCTGATACGAGTCGCCATCGACGTTCAGGCATGTGCCAGTGGCTCTGTCTTTGCATTCCCATTGAACCTCCGCGGCCACGCTTTGCACATCGGTGGCTTGCTCAATGAGCCCTCCCTTCTCCGCGGCCTGCAGCCTCCTTACTTGTAGCCTAACCTTCGGCCACGGAGCCGCTTGCCGCCTCCTCCCTGCATTTAGTATAAGTAAGTGCTCCCGGCCTCCAAGCCGTCGTCCTGCGTTGAGTGTACGCGCTGTCAGAAAGAGCTGCTGGAGGAGGAGGACGGAGGAGGAGAGTGAAAGAAGGCGGGAGGGGAGGGATTGGTGGAGGAGAAGGGAGGATGCAGGAGGGGAGGGGAGGACGAAGGTGAGAGGAAGCAGGCTGGAGACGCGGGAGGAGAAGGGCCTGGAGGAGGAGAGGGAGGATCGTGCGGCCGCGAGAGGCGGGCCCGTCCAAGTTTCTGGTCGGCACTGAGCAGGGCACCGTGATATCGTGCAGCAAGAAGCCCAAGAAGAATGTGGAGGTCTCCCTGTGGTGCTCCAGTGGCAACGAGGCATGCACAACACAACTTTCGGAGCGTCGCGCGGATTCCTTGGATCGGCGCTGATCCCCTCTCCCACCTATGGTCCATGGGCGGGCGCCACCGCCTACTTGATAGATCTGGTCGGGCTTTGGAAAGTTTCTGTGTATGCCATTGTTGATGCCTTAGGTATGGCCACGAGGAGAAGGGGGGCTACGGCAAGCATTTTGGTCGCGCTCTCAGGTTGCAGCTCACGTGGACAAAAATCACTACGGGCGTTTCTGGCTTTTTGGCCCCGTCCTTACGCCAAGAACATCACAGATCAATCTGGATCGAAAGACCACGTTTGGAGATCAGGTAGATGGTTCCGGTCGCGATAGTCTCACGACGTCGGAAGTCGGAGTGGCAATGGGGCTTTGGATCGCTGTGGGTACGCCCAATGACTCTCATCCCTCTGGCGGTGTGCCGCCATTCGTCACAGCGCCCACGTGTTCTGTCCAAGTGGGGAGGAGCCACGCAATGGCATGTGGCAAGGACACTGAACTGTAGGACGTTGCCTGATTGTCGTCTTCGTCCATCCAGCATGCCGAACTGGCACGCAGTAGTACATTTGCAGTTGCATGTCGACTGTATTTGTTTCCCGAGAAGTCGAGAGGATAGTTTGATCGTACGGCGGTCCGCGATCGGGGTGACTGAATACAGTACGGCCGACAAGCATCATCAGTATGCCCGAAGGACGGCTGTGTTGATGATGGTAAGGTGTAAGGCAGGGGAACACACGATGTCCGAGCAGACAGATCCGTCTCTGCCAGAGTCTGGCACCGACCCGCGACAGGTTGCCTGCCGAAGCGAGCGAGTTCGGTCGATTATTTTCGGAGGCCCGATCTATTCGGTCAAGCGGAACCCGTTTCACGTGAAGTATTTCATGACCGTTGGTGATTGGTGCGCCAAGCTCTGGATGGAGGAGCTGAAGGGGCCCATGCTCCAGACGCCGTACCACGACGCCTACCTAAGTGCAGCCTCGTGGAGTCCAACCAGACCAGGTGTTTTTTTCCTCTGCCGTCAAGATGGGTGGCTCGACGCGTCGGCCCCTCAGGCGGTCTGTATCTCTCTCTCTCTCTCTCTCACCTCGATCGCGTCTTCTTCGCTTGCTCAGCCTCCAGTGCCAAGGCACCTCTTGGTCGATGTATTCTGCCCTATGTTCTGCATTGGTGGCCCGCGTGTCCTGGGCCCCCGAAACAAAGGCATCTGGATAAAGCCCGAAGCCACAGCCTGCGAGACCTCCTACACCAGCCCAGCCTGTCACCCGTGAAATCCTTAATGCGATCTTTTGTTCCCAAGCAGTGCGTACACTTATAGGGGCCCTCACTTCTTTTTCGAGGAACTGGGCCGTAGACGCGCTAACGGCGATGTATGCAACGGCGATGTAGATTTCGGCATTGTGGGAGGGACTGTTTCGTGGCCAAACCAATTGTACGACATGGTGGTTCGTGCTTTCCTACGACTCGCTGCGCTGCGCCGGTTTTGCTCGATACATTCGCACATTTGCAATGTAGGAAAGTGTGGCTTGTGATTTCCTACAACTTGCTCTACGCGATCTCGGTGTCACGAAAGTCAGATTCCCAACATCGCCGTTAGACAACATCGCCGTTAGCGCGGCCTTGGCTGGGCCTGGGTGCTGGCGCGGCCGGCTTGTGGCCGCCCCGCCACCGCCCCGTCGCCGCCCGCCGCCACCTCGTCGCCGCCTCGTCGCCGCCGCTCGTTTGGGCCTGGGTGCCGGTCTGACCAGCTTGTGGTCGCCCCGTATCCGCCCCTTTGCCGCTCGTCGCTGCCCGTCGCCGCCTCGTCGCCGCCCGTCGCCGCCGCACTTTGGTCGCAATTTGGATTGTGCGAGCCGCACAGCAATGGTGATGAGGAGGATGAGGGGGGACACGATGATGATCAGGACGATGAAAATAATGATGGTGATGATGGTGAGGGGTATGATGAGGGTGATGATGACGACGTCAATGGCGATAAGGGGGATGATAAAGTTAGATGGTGGAAGCTTCTTTAGATTCGGCCGCAAGGTTACACTTGATTAGGTTTTTGGCGAATCGAGGGGGAGTTGATTTCACGAGTAACTTTCACAAGTTGATTCGAGGGGAAACGGATTTCACGAATTACTCTCACAAGCTTATCCGGATTTCTTCTTGATTCTACAAGTTGATTCGAATTTCGACTTGATGCCGCAAGTTTGTTTCACAAGTGTCGTCGCCAAAACCACTTGATGATACGAGTGTCGTCGACAAGTGCAGTTGGTTCTGTGCCCCGCCATAGCTCAGACCCCACGGCTTCACCCAACGCTGGCGTCGTCGTCGCCGACGTCGCCGCCGTCGCCACCGCCGCCGCTGCCATCGTTGTCGCCGCTGTCGTCGTCGCCGCCGCCGCCGCCGCCCTCGTCGTCGCCATCGCCGCGATCTGATCATTAGATCTCGCTGGCAAAATATTCCACTGTATTTTGTGTTGGAAGGCCTTTTTGGATTTCGACTTCGATGCGTGCGCGCACAACCGACTTCAGCGCAGCATTGCTGCCGCTGTCTGCGGTCCGATTGGCGCACTCGTGCGGGCCGCCCGCCAGATGTTCGGCTATGGCAGGGCCGCTGGTCTTCCTTTTCCCCCTCCTCTTTCTCTTCGTCTTCCTCCTCCTGGCCTTCCGCGTCTCTCTGCCCAGGAGGCTGTGAAATTGGCGAGTTCTGTTTCTCCAACCCCTCGTGCGCTGGGGGGCCGGGCGGGGGGCAACCGTGGGGTCGCGGACCCAGAGTAGACGTCGCTTTATTTGGAGGATGCGAACTGCGAAATCGTCGCCACGATTCTTTGTTCCTGGGGGTTCCAGCGGAGTGGTGTCCTACACGGGCCCAGATTATCACTCGCCGTCTCTGGGGTCTGCGAACGTCCTCACCCCTGCGTGCGGTCAACGTTGTTATTTGTCCGCCTTCTCCTCTCGTGGAAGTGCGACACGGTCGTCACTTTCGTGGGCTGCTGGGAGGTCCAGCGGAGAGTGGTCGTGCGCGGACCCAGTCTATGAAACCTCGCCGTCCCTTAGGGGGCTGCAACTTGCGAAACCGTCATACATTTCGTCGGCTGCCAGGGGTCCAGCACAGTGCGGCCATACGCGGACGTGAAAGAGATCTCGCTGTCCTTGGGCGCCGTGGATTGCGAAACGGTCGCCTCGTTCGTGGGCTCCCTGGAGGATCAGCGTGGTGCGTGTACGCGGACCCGAGTGAGATCTCGACGTCTTTGTTGTTGCGAATTGCGCAACTGTTGTCACGCTCGTGGGCCTTTTGGGGGTCCAGCGTAGCCCGTCCTACGCGGACACGGATGAGACCTCGAAGTCTGTGGGGGTTGCGAACTGTGAAATTCTCGCCACTTTTGTGGACTCCTCGGGTGTCCAGCGTAGTGCGACCTCTCGCGGACCTGAATGAGACCTCGCCGTCGACGAACTGCGAAACTCTCGGCACTGTCGCGGGCTTCTGGGGGGTTCCAGCGTATTGCAGCGTCGTCGCCTTGCGCGCGCCCGCCCGCGAAGGCGGCGGGGCGCGGCCATCAGGGGCATGTTTTCCTTTTTTGGCCTGGTTCAGGGGCTGCGCCTCGCAGGCTGCTCTTGGGCGCAATTTCTTGACATGCGAACGCATTACCGCTCTTACTCCTCCGTTTTCTCCTTCTGCCTTGGTTCCCTCGTTCGCAGTCTGTTCCTTCTCCTCGTGGCTTGTGCGTCGCATGTTGGAGTCCCATCTCCCTCGGTGGGGGAGCTGGCAATTTTCATCATCACCGCATTGATTCGGGGAACAAGGATTTGAAAACATTGTGGGACCTCGACGTCTGTGGGGGCTGCGAACTGCGATTCTCTCGCCACTTTTGTGGACCCATGGGGGTTCCAGCGTGATGCGGGCCTACGTAGACATGGGTGAAATAGTCGCCACGTTCGCGATCTTCTAGGAGGCACAGCGGAGCGACGTACTACGCGGACCAACGTTCTACGTCATCGAGGCTTGCGAACAGCGAAATCGTACCTTTTTTGTCGGCTTCTGTAGGGTCCAGCGTTGTGCGGCCACGCGCGGACCTGAATGTGGCCTCGCCGTCCCTGCGAGCTGCGGATTGCGGAACCGTCGCAACGTTCGTGGGCTTCTGGGGGGTCCAGTGTATTGCGGGCCTACGCGGACCTGAAACAGGCCTCGCCGTCCATGGGCGCTGAGAATTGTGAGTGAAATGGTCGAATTCGTGGACTTCTGGCGGTCCAGCGTAGTGCGGGCCTGCACGTGAATGAGACATTGTTGTCCGTGTAGGCTGCAAACTGTGAAACGGTCGCCACGTTTGTGATCTACAGCTGAGCGACGTTCTACGCGGACCGACGCCCTGCGTCATCGCGTCATCGAGACCTCGCCTTCCCTGGGGGCTGTGCGAAACAGTCGTCGCTCCCGTTGTCCCGTGGGTGGGCAGTGGGAGACGTCCTCACCCCTGCGTGCGGTCAACGTTGTTTTCTGTCCGTCTTCCCCTCTCGCGGAAGGCATGTCCTAAGGTAATGCCTCGCTCATACATCTCCCTGGACTCGTGCACCGAGTCTGGCAATTCATTTTCGAGACAAGTCGCCCTTCGTGTCACGCCATCATCCGTGACAGTTTGGCCCCTTGTAATGGTCACTTGTGGCAAATTGGTGGGGCTCGTCACCCTGACGGCTGCATTCGGGAGTGTTGCGGCAGACGGGGCGCCGGGTGGCGGTGCTTGCGAGTTGGGAAAGTCAGGGGGTCGAGGGGGGAACTCACCGATGGGGCTGGCGCTTGCGAGAAGGGAGAGTCAGGGGGGCAAGGGTTGAACTCACGGTTGAGGTGGGACTACTATTACAGAATGAACGAGGTCTCGTTGTCGCACAAGGTCTCCGAAAGCCAGCTCACTTCGATGAGGAGCAACGCTTCTTGGCACTTCGCATCGCTTCCATACCTCCGTCTTCGTCATTGTCCTCCTTGTCATCCTCGCTGTCCTCTTCCCCATCCTTGTTGCCGTTGTCGTTCTAATCTCTCTCCCCTTCCTCGTCATTATAGTTCTCCCCATCCATCTAGTCCTCCCGTCCAGCTCACCCATTTACTTGTCGTCCTCCTCTTCCTCCTTTCTGCCTACCCCCTCTCCAATCTACTCCTATCCAGCCGAAGGCAGGAGCGAGGAGGAGCATATAGATGAGAGGTTGAGGAATAGGGATGAGGAGATGGTTCCAAGATCCCATTCTCCTGGAAGTTATCAGTCGATGGAAGTACAGGTGCAATACACAAGTTGTGAACATGCTGGACCTCCGCGGAGTCATTCGGTGTCCCATGTGTGCCTGTGGTTGTATTGAACGTCCCGCCGAGTTGGGAAGGGAGGCGGGTGGGTGAAGGGAGGAGGAGGAGGAGGAGGAGGAGGAGGAGGAGGAGGAGGAGGAGGAGGAGGAGGAGGAGGAGGAGGCTCCTCCTCTCCTTCATCATCCCTCCCTACAGTCTGCAGAGTTTTCACATGCCCAGTCTCCCGACGGCCGCGCCCCAACGCGGCTCCCAGCGTGCAGAGCGGGGGTGCGCTGGTGGCCGTGGGGGACGCCGCGGGCACCATCACGTTGCTGGAGCTCTGCCCTGGCGCCGCCCCCTCCGCGGGAGGGCGGGGGATGGAGGGGGGAGGGGGGGGGGGGAAAGGGAGGTGGAGAGGGAGGGCGAAGGTGAGGCGGATGAGGATGAGGAGGACAGTCTTAAATTATAGAGGGAGTAGGCGAGTGAGGAGGAGGGAGGAGGAGGAGGAGGAGGAGGTGGTAGGACTCAAGGGCTCAGGGACTCATGCAGGCTCACCGTCAGCCGAGGATGAAGAGGACATTCACGGGGATCTAGCTGGTCTGGACAGATAGCGCCCCCCCCCCCCCCCCCAATGTTGTTTGTTTCTGCGCATGCCAACAGCCCAACCAGCTCTTTCTTGGGAGCGGCCGCGGGTCTTAGTTACTTGGGCAGAAACAGAAACAAACGCCACCTCCCAAGGCGCCATGGGCAACGTGATGCACTCGCGGCAAGCTGAACCCGACGGGTTCTACGGTTCACCCCGGACCCCCACGGTGTTTTCCTGCCGCTTTTGTGTTTGCCCTTCTCGGGTGTAGCACCGAGGCACACACGCACACACTTTTGACTGGAGGATGTGTCATCTTCAAGTTTTCGAGGATTGCAGACATGCGCTCGTTAATCGTTGACCGCCCGCTTGCGCAGGGACCGTGGGCATGACCAGCGCCGTGTCCATGCCCAACGCAGCCACGCCTAACCTCTCTGGTCAGCACCTAGGAACTCCCACGCGGCCCGTCCGACACAGCTCCACGATCTCGCGCACGAAGGTGTCCTCCTTGCCTGCGCGGAACGCCAGCATCACGATCATGGTCAGTTTCTGTCAGGATCTCGACGATCCCCTTGCGTACGCGTCGTAAAGGCAAGACGTCATGTGCAACCCCGCTGTTTCATGCGCGAAAGCGGTGTTTATCCGTTCTTCGCCTATGGCTCCTCTGCTTCGCCACCAAGAGGCTCGTTCTGCACTGCACGCTGAGAGGATCCGGCTGCCTCCTCCCGCACTCGTAACTCACTAGGGCAACGCAGCTCCCAAGTTTACCCGAGAGACCTCGGGAGTGTGTGGGGGGGGGAACGGGGGAGGAGGAGGAGGACGAGGAAGGGGAAGGGGATAACGACGACGACCCTTGCCTCCTCCTTCTATCTATTTGCGCTGGAGGGTGGGGGAGATGAGTCCTAAACGCCCCAATTGGGCAACCGAGTCCAGGAAGGGCACGTCGGTGCAGGAAGGGGAGAAGCGAGCGCAGGGGGGAAACAGAGGATTCTAGTATTTCCAAAACCTTCCGACAAAGCCTTACTCCTCCTCCTCCTCTGCCTCCTCCTCCTCCACAGGACAGATTCAGGAGGACGTTCGCTACCTTGGCCCAACAAGTAACATGCTGCTATCGGCGACGGTGGAGATCCGTCGCAGAAGTCACGCCACTGCTGACTCTTACTATGCACTAGGACAGATCGGGTCCCTGGAAATGCCGTTCCGCTGGAAGCGGACCCTGTTCCTTAGCTTTGTCCAGAACGCGGCCTTGACGGGACTAGAACCAATGCTGGTCTCGGCTCGTCATTATTGTGAGCTCGATTCACTTCTAGCTCGGTATGGGAGGATTGCGTTACAAGGGAAGGCGGTGACGGTGGATGGTCGTATACGATCGTGGTCAAACAAACGTGTGATGCAACATTGGCGCCCAGCTAGTGAGGAGACGGGGTTGCTGGTCAGGGGCCTGGTTTGGTATCGCAGTTTCGTTTTTTCCTTGTCGAATCACATCCCGGAGCTTTGTCTGATGTTCGGATCCTTGGAATTTGAGGAGGGGGGGGCGCTGGCGCCTCCGTGGCTCCGCCAGATGCAAGCTGCTTTTCTCCGTGCGTCATAATTACTTGGCGAAGGAGAGCTGTGCGCGCGCTTCGCTCGCTGTCCAGGCGACATGGTGCAGGAAGATGATCGCAAGTTCTGGGTTCGAGTTGGCTTTACGGAGATTCGGGCGAGAGAGTTGGCAATAACGATGCCCCCCTTAGGCTGCTTGGAGGCGAACTCGAAGGACACCTCAGAGGAGCCCTTGGAGCACCCCTAGCATTGTGAATGGATAGATGAGGAGGAGCAGGTATGCGGGCAGGAGTACCAACCGAAGAGGGACCTGATGAACCAAATCTGCCGCATACATAAAGTACACAACCTATGTTCGACACTGGCCCCACGAATACATGTAAGCTATGTAGCAGGGCATTCGCTAGCAAGTCCAACGCATCCAAGCACCTCCAGAGGGCCCTCATGGGTAATGTCCAACGCTGGTTAAAACATGATGACCCCCCCCCTCCCCCCCTTCGGACCCCGACTGCCATTAATTCGCATCCGACTAAATATTTGTTATCTGCCCCCCTGGAAAAAGTTCCATTGATGCCGATCGATGCCACTTGTATACACCTCGGTACCAGGGAGAATGCCGACGGTGATGTTTCCGTCTTCCGAACAGAGAATGGATTTTTACATTGGGTTTTCGCCATTGGGTTTTGGAATTCAACATCGCCCCCGTGGTATACAATCTATCAGCGGTACGCCGCCGCCGCGAGCGTTGGCGATTGGCATTTGCGCATGCAGTGTCGCATGTCCACATGGGGATGTTCCCGTCTTCCGATCAGAGAATGGAATTTTTACATTGGGTTTTCGAATTTGGGTTTTGAAGTTCAACCTCGTTCCCGTTGTATAAAACCTATCAGCGACATGCCGCCGCCGCGCGCGCGCGCGCGCGCGCGTTGGCGATTGGCATTTCTGCATTCAGCGTCGCATATCCACGTTGGGATGTTCCCGTCTATCGATCAGAGAATGAATTTTTACATTGGGCTGTCGCCATTGGGTTTGGGAGTTCAACATGGCCCCCGTTGTATAACACCTATAAGCGGTGTGCCGCCGCCGCGCGCGCGTGTTTTGGCGACTGGCATTTGTGCAATCAGTCAGCGTCGCATATCCACGCGGGGATGTCACCGTCTTCCGGTCAGGGAATGAATGTTTACATTTGGTTTTTGCCATTGGGTTTGGGAGTTCAACATGGCCCCCGCTGCATCAAATCCACCAGCGGCTTGCCGCCGCCGCGCGCGCGCGCGCGCTCACGCGCGCTGGCGATTGGCATGTGTGCATTCAGTGTCGCACATCCACACTGGGATGTCCCCTTCTTCCGATCAGAGAATGAATGTTTACATGGGGTTTTCGCCATTGGGTTTTGGAGTGTAACATCGCTCCTCTGCTGCATCAAATCCATCAGCGGCATGCCGCCGCTGCGCGCGCGCTGGCGCTTGGCATTGTTGCATTCTGCGTCGCATATCCACGTTGGAATGTTCCCGTCTTCCGATCAGAGAATGCATTTTTACAACGGCTTTTCGGCATTGGGTTTGGGGGATAATCATCGCCCCCGTTGCATCAAATCTACCAGCGGCACGCCGCCGCCGCGCGCGCGAAATTTCGCCCTGTTGCGTGATATCTATCAGCGGCATGCCGCCGCCGCGTGCGCGTTGGCGCTTGACAGTTGTGCATTCACCAGTGTCGTATATCCACATTGGGATGTTCCCGTCTATCGATCAGAGTACGAATTTCCACGTTGGGTTTTCGCCATTGGATTTTTGAGTTCAACCTCGCTCCCGCTGTATAAAGCTTATCAGCGGCATGCCGCCGCCGCGCGCGCGCTGGCGATTGGCAGTTGTGCTTTCCGCGTCGCATATCCACATGAAAATGCCCCCGTCTTCCGATCAGAGAATGCATTTTTACATGTGGTTTTCGCCATTGGGTTTTCGAGTTCAACATGGCTCCCGTTGCATCAGATCTATCAGCGGCACGCCGCCGCCGCCGCCGCCGCCGCCGCCGCCGCCGCCCGGCGCGCGCGCGCGCTCGCTGGCGCGTTGGCGATTGGCATCTGCGCACCACTGTCGTATATTTACATGGGGATGCCTTGGTGTTCCGATCAGAGATTTTTTTCATTGGGTTTTTGCCATCTGGTATTGGAGTTCAACAACGCTCCCGTTGCAATCTATCTATCAGTGGCATGCCACCGCCGCGCGCGCGTTGGCGATTGGCATGTTTGCGTTCAGTGTCGTATATCCATATTGAGATGCCTCCGTCTTCCGATCAGAGAATGAGTTTTGAGTTTTGGAGTGCACCATCGCCCCCTTGTGTCAAATCTATCGGCGGCATGCCTCCGCCGCGCGCGCGCTCGCTGGCGATTTGCATTTTTGCTCTCGGTGTCGCATGTCCAAGCGGGGATGTCCCCGTCCCCCGATCAGAGAATGGATTTTTTAATTGGGTTTTCGCCATTGGGCTTTGGATCTCAAATTTCGCCCCGTTGTATAGAACCTATCAGCGGCGTGCCGCCGCCGCGCGCGCGCGACATTTCGTCCCTTTGTGTAAAATCTATCAGCGGCGCGCGCGCGCGCGTGGGCGCTTTGCACGTTTGCACCCAGTGTCGTATATCCACATTGGGATGTCCCCGTCTTCCGATCAGAGAATGCATTTTAACGTAGGATTTTCGCCATTGGGTTTCGGAGTTAAACATCGTCCCCGCTGTGTAAAACCCATCGGCGGCGCGCCGCGCTTGCGCATTCAGCGCCGCTTCGCAACCCAGACAGGGCGCGCGGTGCGCAGGGAGTGGCCCCCGAGCGCAGCATTGCCCATCCACGCTGGGGTCGCAGGGCGCGGCAGGCGCGGCCCGGCGCCAAGTGGGGGCGCGCAGGAATCCGCTCGTGCACGCAGGGCGCCAGGGCGGTCGCGGGGGCGTCTCCAGCGATCCAGTTTGCCCCGCCCCCCTTGTGTTTTCTATAGGCGCGCTACAGCGCTGGGGAAAACCATTTTTTCATTGCCTCCCCAAAATAATGTTTAAGTCAGTCTTTAGACACTAGAAGGTGCCCCGCAAGGGGCTCGGCAACATTCTCGGAGCTCCCGCCCCCGATTACCTTGTAATGCAGGGCCTGTGGGTGCCGCGCCAGCGACGTTGACAATCTCTGTAACCATCTGGCTGAAAGTCGTCTACCTGTTGATGTGGACCCTTCCATATCAGAGCCTGTACGTGACAGATCAGGCGGGGCTGGGACACCGCGTCGCGACGTCGTCACAGGAGGAGCAGAAGATGACGTTGCCCAAGCCCGCCTGGCTGAAGGACCCGTCGTCAGGCCCAGAGCCGAACAAAAAGGACGAAGCCGCGTCCAGGAGGAGGCGCGCAGGGCGGCCAACGGCAACAACGCGCTGCACAGCTGGCGGTGGTCATCGCCAAGCTCGTGCTGACCGACAGCCGCGCGCTGGCGGAGCTGACCAGCACGGCGTTTCGCACCTGCGGCGCCAGCGCGGACACCGACTTCGCCTTCATTCGCGCGACGGCGGGCGCGTACTACAATGAGGGCTTGCTGGAGTTGAAGAAGCGACAGGGAGCAGGAGAGACGGTCGACTTCGCTGCCAGGGGCCCACCTCTCGCGGCGATTTGCATGACGGTGACGCACGGGGCGGCATCGCTACACAACAAGGAGGGGACAACACAGGAGAAGTGGATGCTTCCTCTGAAGCAGTTGTGCGCAGACCATCTGGCGACTATGTCGGCGTCAGAAGTTGGATCGCTGGCATTGTCCTGGCAGTGGAAGCGCAATAAGTCAAAGTCGGAGGAAAAGCCGAAGGGCATATTGATCTACGCACTTGACCAGGCACATATACTGGGACCGAAGCTGTCAGAGATCATGGCAGCTGCCCTGGCCTCCATGAAGGCCGAGAGGAGGATCGAGCCAGCGCCGAGGGGCCCCCTCGAGAGGGACGCATCGAAGTTGCTGTCGGAGCTGGGCGGGAAGTGAGGATAGGGCCAGGAGTGAGAGTAGGAGACAGCAGCAGCAGCGCCAGTCATTCAGTACAGTCAGAATGGAGTTCTCGTCTAAGCAGTGGCACGGCTACCCCACATATGCTACGCGGCGTCAGTGACCAGAGTCCGTCGCGGGCGAGCGAGAGGTTGGCTGATTTAATCCGTAGGGGTGTAGTTTCTTCCGAAACTTTGAACCCTGGACCCCTCCCCTTGCCCACAGCTTACGGTCCTGGAGCGTCCAATACGCCAACCGTCCAGCGAGAGGGGAGGTCTTCGAGGCCAAAGGGCAAGGGTAAAAAGCAAAAGTGTCGTGGGTAGTAGCGTTCACTTTTACTGGTCCCCAGTGTTGGTCCCCCTAAAGGCTGCGCGCTGTTGTGCGGCTGTTCGCGGGGACGGTGCGACGTTCGTCGTGTGCCGCGGGCCGCATCAGACGGTTTGGCGAAGAGTGGGTTGCGCTCCCCAGGGTTCCCCTAGATTGCAAATGCAGGCCGAGGCTTTCGGGCGAGTGGCAGCAGCAGTTGAACTCCCACGGGCCCAATCCCAATCCCAATCCTCCTCCTCCTCCTCCTCCTCCTCCTCCTCCTCCTCCTTGTGTTCTCCTCCTCCTCATTCACCTCCTTCTCCTTCTCCTATCTGCGTCTGTGCCTCCACAGGCACAGGTCGACGTCGATTTCCAGGGAAGCATGCGACAATCGTAGACATGGAGGGGAAGACGAACATCCATAACATATAACATGTACTTTCGAATCCCAGGATGTGTGTCTACTCGTGTGTGTGTTGTGTTGTGTTGTGTTGTGTTGTGTTGTGTTGTGTTGTGTTGTGTTGTGTTGTGTTGTGTTGTGTTGTGTTGTGTTGTGGTGTGGTGTGGTGTGGTGTGGTGTGGTGTGGTGTGGTGTGGTGTGTTGTGTTGTGTTGTGTTGTGTTGTGTTGTGTTGTGTTGTGTTGTGTTGTGTTGTGTTGTGTTGTGTTGTGTTGTGTGTGTGTGTGTGTGTGTGTGTGTCTGGGCGCCTTTGCGCATCCTCGGCGCGTCGGCGTGCTGGAGGCCCGCCCTGCCCCCCCACCCCCCCGCGCGCGAGAGAGCCCCCGCCAAGTCTCGGAGGACGACCCCCCGAGGTGGATCGCTTGTTTCGAGCTTTCGGCCCGCCTTGCCTCCTCCCTCTGCTCTTGGCCTTCCCTCCTCGTCCGCTCGTGGACACCAGTCGGAGGAGGAAGAGGTACCCATACCTCTACCCCGTTTCCCCTTTTCGAGCTTCCTGGGAGGCTCTCGTCGCCACCGCTGGATTCGCCTCGAAATTCTGGTCAGAACGCACCCCCGGTGAGGTCCGGGGACCAGCGGTATCCGTACCTCTTGCTCTCCCCAATCAGCTCTGTGTTGCGCCAGGGAAGGTCACCATATGTTTGTGCTGTGGCGGAATCTCGACGGGCAAGGCCTCGTCGTTGCTCGACCCCTGCCCCCCGCTTCCCCCCTCGACGAGGGGGCTGAAGCACATCCATCGGTGCGAGAGTCTTCGGCGCCCGTCCGACCTGCATTGCATAGAAGCGATCTCGGGCACCCGTAGGCTTCAGGTCTCCGGTCCAGAAGTATACTGGCTGCAGCTCGAATAACTCGTTATTCGTTTTCCCTCTTGAGAGCTTCACGTCTTACATAAGCTCGCCACTGCGCTCGGACCCCCTGGCTGCCGCCATTCTTTGATGGGCAGTCGGGTGGGGGTCGCACCGTGCGCGGGCCCTGGGCCGTCGGCTCTGGTCCGTTTTCGAGCGGCCGTTTGCGCACCGCGCGACGGACTCCTCTTTAGCCTGCGTGCCTCCTCCTCCTCTTCCTCCTCCTCCTCGATCCTTCTCCCCGATCCTCATCGATCCTCCCGCCTTGTCCTCCTCGATCCTCCCTCATCGATCCTTCTCGATCCTCCATCCTCGCCCCTCTCGATCCTTCTCCCCGATTCTCACCGATCCTTTCGACCCCCAGTCCTCCTCGATCGTCCTCCGCTCTCTCCCCCCTGGCCCCGTAGAGGCCTCGTCAACCAGATGCCGAACGAGAAGAACATCATCGGCCAGCTGCTGGAGCGCGAGACGAAGAGGAGCCACCGGGGCTCGCGGGGCCGCTGGGAGAGGCAGGGCCCCGGGTGCGCGGAGGGACAGCCCGCAGGTCTTGCCGTGGACGGCGTCAAAGCCATGGGCGGCGGTTTTCCGCCGCGGGTGCCTGGGCCGCTGCGGCCTCGCCCGCGCCTACCCAAGCACGCCCCAGACGTGGCGCGTGGCATGCGCGCCTTCTGTCGGCAGCAGCGCTAACGCCGTTTCGGCCCATGCGCTCAGCAAAGAAACGCCCCGAGCAGGTCGGTGTATAGATGCACGCCTCGCACAGGTGGGGCACGGTCGCCCTGGGGGCACCCCCTCTCCCATCCTGCCTTTTTCAGGGAGCTCCTTGGCCAGCGGCGCCTCTGGAGGGTCCGTCTGGCCTGGTGACCCGAGCGGCAGCATGCTACGCCCGGTACCCTGCTCCCTCCCTGGGCGGCCAGGCGAGGACCAGCTCCACGTCTCCGCGAGCCTCATCATCGGCGTAAGTCGCCGCCTCGATGGACATTGATTCGGACGACGCAGGAGTGGCGCTCACCGGAGTCCGCCTCGCCCTCCGAGCTCGCCGCCCCGCCTCGCTCCTCAGGGCCGCCGTCGTTGGGGCAGCCCGCGGCTCCGTTCGCCTCAGCGCCCACTTTCTTGCTGGCCCTCGCCTTGCTGCCGTGGCCCAGGTCGTCCTGGCTGCGTTGGAACTCAGCCTCGGCGCCAAGACATCCATGGGGTCCGACCTCCAGCGACGCGTCCAGCCGGCCCGTGACGATCACCCAAAAACGTGGCGAGGGTGCACTCTAGCTTGAGGACATGCCTCACGAGTGAGTCCTCCTCGCTCTTGGGGGGCGCGGCAAACAATGGAGGGGGAGAAAGGAGGGAAATAGAGATGGATGACGGATACGTGGAGGTATGAACGGGGGATGGAGGAGGGATGGAGGGATGAGGAGTAGCTTGAATTGGAATAGCCACAGTGCTGACTGATCCTGTTGTGCTCTGCGTCGTTGTGCTGCTTACGAGCACTGGTTCTCACCGCCAGTGTGGTGCCCACAGGCGGCTGGGTCGCCATCGGGTTGCTTACGAGCACTGGTGTTCACTGGCGATGTGCACAGGCGCCTGGCGCTCACAGTCACAGTGGTGCCCAGGCGCTGCTTGTTTCAAGCAGTCCTCATTGTATGCTGGCGCAGTCAGTCCAACGTAACAGCTGCGACAGCAGAATTACCCAGTGATGCCACAAGGTGGCTTTGACGCAGGACGGATGCGTGCTCGCCTGGATTTGTCGAGATTCGTTCAGAGCGCCGCAATGACAACATGTAGCCAAACGCTCACCACCCCCATGTATTACCTGGCCGCGCGCAGCTCGCAGCTATATAGGTCTCCGTGTGCCGCGCAGCAAATTGCATTCATGACAATCGCCAGGTGGCCTCTGGCAAATGGCATAAACCAGCTTGGGTCCAGTGGATCAGCCCGCCATCGTCAACAGTTTGAACACTGCATGCGAGCCCGTCTTTGTTTCGGCTTGCGCCCTGAGTGCTAGGCGCGCTTGCCAGGCTGCATTCCGTGCTGTCGACATGTAAGCTTTATGTTTGCCCACCTCTGCTAGACTGCGGATCGGACTGGTGCGAACGCGCGAGTCACAGCGAGACGAGGGCGGGCAGTTGAAACATGTGGGGCGGCCCGATGTATCTTCCCCATCTGCAGGGAGAAAAACTTGGAGACCATCAAGAAGCAGGGCGCCGTGATGAAGAAGGCCATCACGGACAAGGGGGGCCATGGCAGCATGACCATGGACAAGGCTCGCAGCTGGAGGGGAGGGCGACTCACGTGTGTACCGGTTTTGTTTGGAAAGGCGGGGGAAAACGAATCGACCCCAACCAGGAAATCGGTTTAGGTTCGTGCTGCGCTCGCGTGCGAAGCGGAGCTGCGCGAAGGCGACGGTGTGCCGGCGTGGCCAGGGCCGATTCGTGCAACAAGTTTTTCCCCCGGGTGCGCGGTTCCGCGCCGCGGTTTTCCCGCGTTTTTCTCACGGTTATCCCGTGGTTATCTCGCGGTTATCCAGTGAGTTGTTCTTGTGGTTGTCCCGCGAGTTGTCCCGTGGGTTGTCCCGTGGGTTGTCCTGTGGTTGTACCATGGGTGGTCCCGCGGAGTTGTTCCGTGGCCGCGTCGCGCCACTTGTTTCATGGGAAATGGAATACAATTGCAAATCCAATGGCAGTCGGAATGCACATCGAAATTCAAATCCAATTGCAGTCAAGACGAACATCGAAATGCAATTCGAAACGCAAACCGAACTGCACATCGAAATCAGCATCACGTGCAAATCGAACTGACTATGGGAGTGTCAATTGAACTGCAATCGAAATTGAGATCGAAATGCGAACCCAACTGCAGTCGACATGCACAACGACGTACAATTTAACATCCAATTGTAATGGACGCGCGTATTCCAGGTACAATCAGAGAATATTTTGACATGCGCATCAACACGCACAACGGAACAACATAGTGTCGCAACCAAATCGCATTCCGAAGCGCAACGTGAAGAGCAAGTCGACGTGTGATCGAAACGCACGTAAAACCCACATCGACATGTAAATCAAAGACATGCACTTCAATATTAACATAGAAATGAACATCGACATGTAAATCGACATATGCATATAACCGGGGAACTGGCCAGGGGGCCTGGGGGCCACGACCTCTACCACACAGGCCCGTGGTGGCCCCCAGGCGCCCACAAAACGGCACCAGAAAACACCAAGAGAGCCCGAAGACGCGCCAACAGGGACCCGCGACGCCCACAGACCGCTCCGAGACGCACAGGCCGCTCCGAGACGCTCAAGATTGGCCCCCAGGACACCCCGAGAGGCCTCCCAGGCGCCGCCTGTGACGCTCCCGAAGGCCCCCCAGGAGGGCCCCACGAGGCAAGATTCGCTCCATTGCCTTCGGGAAGCGTATATGTTTCGCATCTATACTTTTTTGCTTTTCACAATGCCCAAGACGGCCCAATAGGCACCCGAGACTGCCCCACAGGCTTCCAAAAGGGCTCCAAGACGACCCCAAGAGGGTCCCAAGACGGCCCGAGAGGCCCCCAAGGCAGCCCAAGAGAGCCCCAGGACGAGCCCCAGAGGGGTCCCAGAGGTGCAAAACCAGATTCAAATTCCGAGCTTTCGGCCCCAGAGGCTCCCAGGAGGCCCCACGAGGTCCCCAGGAGGCCCCAAGAGTCCCCCAAGATGCCCCAAGAGGCGCCCAAGAGGCCCCCAGGGCGCTCCCAAGAGGCATCCAGGAGGCCCCCAGGGGGGGGGCCCAAGAGGCAAAATTCGTTCCATTCCTTTAGGGAAACGTATATGTTTCGCATGCATACTTCTTTGGTGTTCACAGTGTCCAAGACGGCCCACGAGGCCCCCAATATTGCCCCACAGGCTCCCAAGAGGGCTCCAAGACGACCCCAAGAGGGTCCCAAGACGGCCCGAGAGGCCCCCAAGACAGCCCAAGAGTGCCCCAGGACGAGCCCCAGGGGGGGCCCAGGGGTGCAACATCAGATTCAAATTCCGAGCTTTCGACGCCAGAGGCCCCCAGGAGGCACCAAGAGGTCCCCAGGAGGCAGAAAGATACCCCCAAGGGGCCCCAAGAGGCGCCCAAGAGAACCCCAGGAGGCTCCCAAGAGGCAGGAGGCCTCCAGGATGGCACCAAGAGGCGGGTCCGAAGACGGCCCTGGAGGCCCCCAAGACAGCTCAAGAGAGCCCCAGGACGAGCCCCAGAAGGGGTCCCAGAGGTGCAGAACCATATTCAAATTCCGAGCTTTCGGTCCCAGAAGCTCCCAGGAGACCCCAAGAGCCCCCCAGGGGGGCCCAAGATGCCCCCGAGAGGCCCCAAGAGGCCCCCCAAGAAACCCCCAGGAGGCTCCCAAGAGGCCCCCCAGGAGGATCCCACGAGGCTCCCAAACTGCCTCGAAGACGCCATTGAGAGGCCTCTAATATACCCTCAAGCCCCCCCCCCCTAAGAGGGCCCACACTGGCCTTCTGGCGAGAATGACGACGGATATGATGAAAGAACATCGCCGAGGGGTATCATGACGATGTCCCCGATGATGGGAAGATGGCGGTGGCGATGATGAGAGGAGGGGAATTATCAGGAAGATGAGTACGATAACGATGGCGATGATGCTGATGCTGATGACGATGCTGATGGTGATGATGCTGGTGGTGGTGGTGGTGATGATGGTGAGGATGAGGAGGAGGATGTGGATGAGGATGAGGATGCTTATGAAGAGGGGCAGGACGAGGAGGAGGAGCAGGACACGAGGATGAACTATGATAAGGGTGATGATGCTGCTGATGATGATGATGATGATGCTGATGATGATGATGATGATGATGATGAGGGTGATCTTAGGATGATGAGGATGAGGACTGGCTGCTGAGTGGGAGTGATACGATCATGATGGTGGTGATGATGATGGTTTTGTGTGTCATGATGATGATGATGTTGATGGTGGTGGTGGCGCCGATGATGATGACGATGGTGACGAGGCTGAGAATGTTGATGACGAGTGTGGCGATGCTGCTGATGATGATGATGATGATGCGATTGATGACGAGTATGATGAAATGGGGAGGAGGAGCAGAAGGATGAGGATGATCATGATGATGGTGACGATCATGATGATGATGATATTGATGATGCTGGTGATTCTGATGATGCTGGTGATGATGCTGACGATGCTGATGATGATGAGGAGGA